GGCCCACCTGTATTGAAGCGAGGCTGGAACATCAGAAGGAAACTAAAAAAAAAAAAAAAAAAATATATATAGATAAATATATATATATATATATACATACTGCGTCTGCTGTCACATAAGCAGTCTCCAGACATATCATTTCCGCAAAGAGGCCAAAGTCAAAGCGGCGACTTGCCGAAGCTCGGTGTCGGGCCAGAGGTTCTCTTTGAGACCCGACTCCAGAGAAACGTATGTGAGGCCCCGTGCGTGAGTTAAAGAAAGCCTATCTCGGGAGAGGGTGAGGTCAGAGAGGGGCTAACAAAAAGTGCGTGCGCCTGGGATCAGCTGCTCCCTGACTTCCACCCTGCTGTTCACCTTTAATCCACCTCCCACAATTGATTTAGTTTCCTTCTGATGTTCCAGCCTCGCTTCAATACAGGTGGGCCAAGTTATTCAGTCTGCACTGGAAGCGAGAGACAGACAGACACATCAATAGTGTTAAACACTGGTGTGTACAATGTTCAGATGTAGTTGCACGTGTGTGTGTCATTCATTTCATTTTAGCCTCTCTTGTCAGTGGATGAAAGAAAATGGATGAAGCAGCCGAGATAAGATACTGCACCATCATGCCGTATAACCCGCAATCGCAGGCCTCTTATCTAAAGGCAAATATTTGACCACGGCAGTTTGAGTGCACTGCCTGATACGTTGTTTTGTTTGTCCACAACAGATGAAAGGATTTCAGCGTAGCTCACAATCACCGATGCGCTGTCTTTCTGAACTCTGTGACTCCAGCAGAAGCTCCCGGCTCCCTCTAATAATGTGTCATTAGACGGAATACAAACCAATATTCATTGATGCTGCCTAACTAAAGTGACATGGCGCTTATATGGTAGAGGTTTTTAATGCTTTTTTTTGTCCTCACACTAAACACAAATAGGATTCACTTTGAGCAGTATAATCTAAAAGAGTGAAACGGCCTCGTAATCTAATGGCCTTGCTTCACTTTAGATGCCTAAAAGGTCAACAGTTAATGACGGTACAGCGAGCGTCTTGGACGCACTAATGGGCTTACGTGCAGCAGCACTACTTACACTGCAGTGAGTGATGCCATGTCGGCTAAACCTATTAGCCGTAGAGTGCTCCGGCACCTACTGGGCATCCTCCATCAGAACAGCCGATAACGGTTTGGTTTTACGTGATACAACACTCGGTTGATTTATGTGTCCATGTCAGTAATTGAAGATGTCATGTAGAAAAAGATTTGCACGTCTACTGTAATTAGCCTGTTGTAGGACATACATTCTGATTCCTGCATTGCCTTAGAGCTGGATTGACCTCCACCTGATCTAAAATGATTAGTCCCCTCACGGTTTTGAAGGTTAAAAGTGAGCTGAGTCCTGCATTAAAGGTGTTATCAGAAAAATATCAAAAGTAAAAGTAGTGGTTCTGCAGTAAAACGTCCCCATGTGACTGATGTATCATTACTGATGTCTCAATGTGTGAACAGCATTTTACTGATCGAGGTGGAGCTAGTTTTAACAATTATTGTATCTACGCACAGTTAGGTAGTTTACTTCACTAGTTCCCAACATAGGGGTCACAATATACATCTGAGTGGTTCGGAGAGGAAAGATGCAAGAATTTTAATTACCTTTTTAGACTTTTCCCTAATCTTTCCTATTTTTGTTTGAAAAATATTAGAAAATGTTGCTCTTTGAGCCTCAAGCTATTTTCTTCAATTAATTTATTTGAGCAGGTTTGAGGGAAATGTCTCTTCACAATATAACAAGGAAGACTGCGTTTGTAGAGCAAGTCACGAGCCACAAAGGTTGGACACTACTGGTTTAATCTCTAACAGTATGTTGGAAAAACCCTATTTTGTAAAGTTCTTGAAAATGATATCTGTCAGATAAATGTAGTGGAGTTAAAGCATAAAGTAGCATTACATTAAAATATTCAATTCAGGTAAAATGACTGAAAACTGTACTTAAGTGCAGTGCTTGGGTTGATGTACTTATTTTCCAACTCTGATCCTCCGGAGTATCAAAACCAGCAAAAGAGTCAATAATAACCAGGATACCAGCGAGCATGTGATGATCAATAGACTGTCTATACCAATGATGACCCAATCACAAGAGCTCGGCAGGCACAGATATGTTGGTTTAACCTGCGCACGCACCAAAACTGAAGGAGGGATTTCCCCCCCCCCCCCCCCCCCATGGGCTCTTATCAACTGGGAAACAGACAAAGATAAGTGAATGCTTCACTTATCTTTGCTTTCCACCGCCTGTTCAAAGAAATATTGAACTAGAGACTGCTGGATGGATTCTCCACCCACCCGGTCTTCTCTACGGATTGATAACACTGTTGTGTTTTGGTCCTGTTTGGCACAGAGAGGCGTTGCTTTGATCCCACCCCAGGCTCTCTCTGGGAATGTGGGAATGACATGCCAAAATGGAGGATTAATGCATCTTTCAAGTGGCCTCTGCAAGCCCTTATTTTGATCCCGAGTGTGTGCCAGTGTCTGCTGACTGTACCATAAAATAACAGCCCCTCCCCACCACCGTCCTGTAACGGCAAATGCACGGTGTATCCATACCGAGAAGGCTTTCTAAAACTATCTGAATTACGCCTGACTCGGTGTATGCTCCTTACAGCTATTTTAGCCCGGTGATAAGTGAGTCTGTGCGACACCTGGTCCGTCTCTGCAGGCACCGATCGGGTGGCTAAGTGAACTGGCACAGGGGCAGACTGGCACCGGGCCAGAACAGATGGCTACGGCGTTTCACTCGCACAGTAACACAGTGGCAGACAGGAGTGGAGCTAACACCTCTGTCTAATAATAAATAAATAAAATCCCTGGTTCCCTAGGTGACCCCTTCAGCGCCTGCAGCCTTTTTTAATTACATCTGAATGCCAGTCGACTGAGAGAGAGAGAGAGAGCGCTGGATAGAGATGTTGTTAAACCATCAGCAACGCTTTCTGCCTCCCTCCTGACAGAAAGCTGTGGCTGACTGGTGACTCATCCCCATCATAACATAAGGCAAGCTGGATCCAAGCGCTACCTACAAGGTTTCACATTTATTTCTGCCAGCCCCAAATAGATTTGCTTTTGTTATTCTAACGCAGACGAGGTTAATCGTGCAGCCGTGTGGATTTGGCAATTTGCGCTCGACTAATTCCAGTAAAATGTCGCACAGTCGTGTCGCCACAGATTTGGGCCGAAGGGAGATGAAAATGTGATACTGTCGTCATTAGACGTATTCTGTCGGCTGCTTGGATAAACATCTCTTCAGGCTGATGAATGAAAGAAAGTGATGGGTTGACATTTATATTAGCTAACATATAGACTACCATCTCTTCCCAATGTCAAAGTTGGTGGAACTGGAATCTAAGTAGAACATGGGACATGAAAATGCAATGTGACAAATCAATATTTGACACATTCACTATTCAATTCACATTGTTCAGTTGTATTGAACCTTTAAGACTTAACACATTTATTTATTGTTTATGCCCCACAATATTAACTACTAAACAGACCACCCCATTGTTGTCGTCTCTAACTCGGTGATCTCCGTTCTGCTTGAATGTGATGGTTCTCCGTGAATCATACTTGCCTAGCAGCACGGAGTGCCCGTGGCTCAGGGAAAGTGGGTGACTGGATAGCTGTTTGTTTGCTTTGTCTCTCTCTCTCCCTCTCCCGCTTGGCTCTGGCTCCGACTGATCACAGTGTAATGCAGCTGGACTTGTGGGAAAAGTGGGTCAGGAGGAAGTTTAGCAAACTTGGCTTGTGTGTTGTTGACTTGCTGTGGAGTGTCTCGCTGTAGAGCCAACCCTGAAGGTTTTCTGGAGGGGTGGGTCTAAAGGAAATGGGGATTTTGAAGGTCACAAATTGCTGTGGACCCATGAACGAGGCGTGGAATTGAGCTTGTGTCTGGCTCAGTTGTTGTTGTTTTTATCTGCCTCTGTGTTCTACAAGATAGGCTGGACCTGAGGGGTCACCAGGGACCCTCTGATTTAAATAATACAGGTTATTTTACTGTACTTCTTGACTTCCTCCTACTCCGCCCAGTCTGGATCTCAGTGTGCCAGTCACACAACTGTATTTCACTTCTTTAGAGGCATATGTGGGTATATGTTTCTTACTTGTGTTATTTAATAATGAGCAGATGTCAGTGAGTCACATAGGCCTCTGTGTTCAACAAGACATTTTACTGCACCACGGCTCGTCAGAGCATCTGTGCCATGTCACCTTCCATTAAGAATTCGCCCCATAAAGCTGACAACGTGGATCCTGATTTAGTAGCACTTTGGTGAGCCACCCCTTCACAACAAGCCGTAGATTCTTTCCTTGATGACGATGGACACAAAGCGGAGTAGAGTAGGGTTTGATTACTAAGTTGTTCACTCACTTTCCTGAGTGAACAACTATCATAACCGCTGACTAAGGAAGAATAAAGGCGCAAGTACGGCCATGCTTTTCATCCCCAGATGCTGCAGCGTGTCATGAATGTGTGCTCACATTGTGTTAGCCATGCCACTAATTCGTTTATTTTCCTCTCTCCCTCTCTCTTGTTCTTTCTCTTTCCCCACAGGCTCTGCAGCCTCACGCTGAAAAAGCTGGTCGTCCTCAAAGAACTGGATAAAGAGCTGAACTCCCTGTCTATAGCTGTCAAAATCCAGGTGGGTGGGTTAATCTCCCATGTGCAATGTGAGCAACGGGCTCACATTGCACAAAAACATTCGATAGCAGCGTGTCACGCTCTGGAGCCTGTTGGGTCTCTGTCTCTCGATTCTTTGCCGGGGCTGTGCTCTGTTGAAAGTAGGCGATGATAAAACATGCTCCTAATCCCGACAATTGATAAAAAAAAAAAAAAAAAACACCTCAGCTGCGCAGGAAGCTCCGGCGAGTCACATCCTCTCAGGTGCTTCTAAATGACAGCCTAGCATTACCACTCTAAGCAGGAGCAGTAGCACCTTAAGGCAGATTGTGCATCTTACATTGATTGCTAATGCATTTTTTGTGACAATGGGTGTGCAGGCCTAACATGCCTGAACATTCAAAAGTACAGCGTCATCCTCCTTGATACAAATGCATAACTAAAGAATAACTAGAGAGAGATGTACTGCAAAATCTATCTTAATTGATAGCAAAAACCAGCAGATGGCTTGGTAGGAGGCAGATAGCAGATGTTTCAATGTGTGAACATCTGCCGTGGTGCCTGTGTTCATGGCAAAAGTTAATTTTGCAGCTCACTAAACAAGCATACATTTGGTTCGCCTGCTGCTGTAGAGTTACAACTTACTTCCTCTACACTGCAGAGCAGCGGGACGATAACTGTGGAGATGAGTTTAGTTGTGCTCCACTTTTAAAGTCATGGAAGCAACACGTTCCCATTCAACACGTTTCCATTCAACGATCACCCACAACGAAGTGTGCCTGTATGGAAGACTGAGAAGGAAAAAGAGACAAAATATATATAATGAAGCACAGATTAAGTTATTTTTTTTTTTTTTTTAATAAGCAAAACTGCTGCTGTGAACTGATTTCCTTGATTATATTTCAATTTTTTATCATGGAACACTAGACCCTTAGTGTTGATGTAAAATAGTTAAGGCACACTCATAGACTCATCCGGAGTGTCGGAGTGTTGGAGCCCTGCCTTTCTTCTGCAGACACATGCCTCACAGTTTGAAAACGCACACTCAGCAGAAAGCCTGGTTGCGGTTGTAAAGATGATGGTCCGCTGCTTCTGAAACCGTTGATTCTGAGAGAGAACTATGACCGGCGAGGGCAAGTGTACACAGACACACGTACGAACACTCTGCCCTGAGGTGGCCGTGTGGAAATAATTCTCAAAGGAAAAAGTCTTTCAAACTTTCTTGACTGCAGTCGCCCAGAAAATCCACAGAGAAGAGAATTTGAGAATTAGACTCACCTAAAAGCGAGACGAGAGGACGGAGACAACTTTTTCTGTAACTTTTAGCTGAAAGATTTAGTGCCATTGAAAGAAGAGAAAAAGCTTTTCTGCTACCCACACAGAGAGAGATAATCTAATATGTAGCCTTAAAAGACCAGTGCTGTATTTTACAGATACTACCTTTTAAATCACATAGTTAAAAGAGCTCTATATAAAACTCAGAGAGTATACATTGCCTCTCAACCGTTCTTAACATGGCGACGGCTGAGCTGGTGGCCTGCTGCTAACAGTGCAAACAGTGGTAACAGTGCTGACAGAGTGTTTACTTTTATCAGCTGTATGAGCGCAGTGCGGTGTTTTTGGCTAAGAGCCTTGAAACTTTACTGGTTGTGTACTTACCGCTCTCTGCCTGCATGCCGTAATTCACCATTTTTCTTTCCCTCTCTCAATATACCCCCCCCCCCCTCCCATTTTGAAATCAATTTAAAAATGTAAAAGAGGCGTCTGTCAATTAAATTTAAATAGAAACAAATCATCTCCCCTCAACTGTCACCCTGAAGGAGAAAGCTACCAACCAAGTGTGGGTTTATCTGTTAGCTACGTTGTCTCCGGAGCGTGAAATCTCTCCGTTTCTGTTGAGCCGCCCGGAGGACAGCCGAGCAGAAGCCATGTTCACCGCGGCTCCGGAACTGGAGCATTAAAAGCAATTTCCAGCAGGTTTTGGTTCTGGAGAACAGAGACGCTGAGGGGATGAAGAGACAGTTGGAGAAGATGACAGGGGAATAAGAGGGTTTTGTTTTCAGACAGCGAACGACAAAGCCTGTTTAGTGCACGTCATCGCTTGTGTGTATAGGTGTGTGTTGGGTGAAAGCAGAGGCCTCAAAACGCCTTTAAAAACCTCTTCATTACCCGACCCTAAATCACTTCCTGCCTTTGCTGCAAACAGGAGAGACAATTTAGTGTCTTTTGAAATAACCTTGAGAAGAAGTGTAAAGTTGAACTTTTCCCACAGGCTCGGGGAGCGTAGAGTAGAAGGGCTGTAACACCCCCCCCCAATCTGGCCCCAGAGAGACAGTGGAGAAGCTTGTAGCGAGAGAGAGGGGGGGGGTGAGAGAAGGGGAGGGGGGCAGAGGACATTCAGTACAAGCTTTCCTTGCCAAGGCTCTGTGTTGTTAATGCATGTCAGGCAGTTTGAGAGTGCTCGCCTTTTGTGCCTTGATTCATTGTACCAGCCACAGAGCATAAGAAAAGGGTGCATACAAGGCCTCTTTGTGGAGCTCAAGTTAGTGACAAGGTCAGACTGGGACAGAGATTTACCCCGTGTTTCTCTCTGTGTACAAAACAAAGGCCGCGGCTACTGTCAAGGTACTGTTAGCGAGTCCTTCTGTGGAACATATTGAGCCATCAGGCTGGATGGAAAAATGTTTATTACAAGTGAATGCTTTGCAAGTGTCGGCAAAGCTAAATATTTTCCCTATAGTCCTTCAAAGCTTCGCTTTTATTGCATGCATTAAAAATTATTGACATTGAAATACATGTTCTTCTTTTAAGATATTCACTTTATTTTATTTTACGAGGCACGCTGAAACGGTGTTATGTGTTTGCCCAGATGCATGCACACACACACACACACACACATATCACCCCTGTGCTCCAAAACCTCCACTGGCCTCCGATAGAACAACGCATCCATTTCAAACTTCTCCTCATTGCCTACAAAGGTTGCACACTTGTTAATAACAAGTTTGCAGACTAAGACTGCAACAGCCAGAACATGCAAACAGTGAACAAGAATGGCCGGGGCTAATGATCAAACCCAGGAGCCTCTTCCTCTCTGAGACAACAGTGCTAATGGGCCACTGAGCCTCCCGAAACATATTCAGCTCACTCGCAATATTCGGAGGATGTTTGCCGAAGATCAATTCTGTTCTGTGCGAGAAATCACGCTCTATGCAATTCATCCATTCAGCTGTTAACGCTGCTTGGGTGATCGTTGGAAGTGTGCGTATGAACTGCACTGTAAAAGCTCTGCTTTATTGTGCTTGTTTGAAACGTACATAATGTAATGTGTACAACTCATTTCAAATCGCTCATGCATGTGTTGTACCTAAAGAGGCACCACTGCTACATCTAACCCCCTCTGGTATCTTGTGATGATTCCTCAGCACACACCCAGCCATTTAATTTGGTGTCTTGGTTTCTGCTACATGATTTAGCAGCTCTGATGACATCAGGCTCCGGTGTCGTAGCCGCTGCATCCGACTATTCAAGAGTTCGTAGGCTATTAAGCCAGATGAAGGATATATTTGCTGCTCACCAAGTCTTACTTAATTCTACTAGCAGGTTCAGCAGACACCTGAACTAAGCTATGGCAACTTATGAAATCTGCACAGCAGTTGATGAGTTGCCAAATATATTACACAACAGATGCCTCTCTTCAGCGTAGACATTAGATCGGGAACTTGAGATTTCACAAGCTGTTCCTGTTCTTACGTTTACATGCTGACTCCCGGTTTCAAGATTAGAAGAGGGGGAAAAAAAACAAAAAAAACTTGCTTGAAGAGAATTAAACTGTAACTTGACGAGGAACATGATCGACTTTAATCTGAGGCTTGTAAGAGAAACTCGCCAAAGGCTAAGGCGGGTTCTCTGAGGACACGCTGGGTGTCTGTGTCCTTGCATTTGGAAGAGACTTCCACAGCCTGTGGCATCTAAATCCCTGTGCTGTTTGGCCACAAAAAGTTTGTGCCAGCTCCCAGAATTATCCTCGGCGACGAGTTGCTCTCAACCAAAATAGCAAGCTTTGGGTAATATAGTTAAATTTGGTTACAGTTCTTGTTTCACCTGGACCAAACCTCCCTCTCAAGGCATGATTAAGAGTCCTCGCCAGTTGTTCCTAAGATGCTGAAGGTCGCAGTAGCTTATACCCTTTTCCCCACCGTGTATATGCAAGGGTTTATAAACACGGAAAAGACCTGCTAAAATAGGAGACGGACTCCTTTCCCATTGCAAGGATGCCGGTGATTTGTGGTTAGGAACTTATTTTTTTTTTATATCTGTTATTTAGTGGAAAGTCAAACAAAGACAGTTTTGATGAGTCTTATGTTTCTGTCGAGTTTGAATGAAGTGTGTTTTACAACAATCTGCATGATTAAAATGACTGGAGTCTGGTGGCTTTAAGGAGAACAAATTAATTGTAGGCTTGTGATTAGGTTGCTGATTTTTGAATCCTTGTGTCAGTTAGGAAAACCTCATGGTATGTCTCTTAGCAGGCCACATGACCCATATTTCATTTTTTTCTAGTAGCACTGTTCTCTACAAAGCAGTGAAGGAGGAGAGGACTATTTGTACCGGACTGCCTCAAGGTGTGAATCTGCACAAATGTGTGACTGTGAAGCAGGCTGGTCCTAAAATAAGGCTTGCACACTCGGGCCACTGTTGTCTGATAGAAATTGGCTCAAGAAACAACATAAGATGAGGGATTTGTGGGATGTATAGTGTTCTATATGTTGCATTTGTAGATGTGCTTCCAATCAAACTTGGCTTTTCTTTGTCATCCAGGGTTCGAAGCGTCTTCTGAGATCAAATGAGTACGTCCTCCCACCCAGTGGACTGATGGAGACAGACTTGGAGCTCACATTCTCACTACAGGCAAGCACTCTGACATTATACTGTGAATTCTCACACTGACATGGCAGTTACTTGGCGGGGAGGATTGTGTTGAAGCCTGTATTCACACTTGTGTGTGCCCCTTCTAAACCCAGAGCAAAAGTGTTGAGTTCAAAGTATCCAGGTGTATCTAAATATGTGTGCTTACAGTATTTTGTATAAATGAAATGCTGTTTCATGTTATTTTGTGGTCAGAAGAGGTCTTCACTCACAGAAAGTGCAGCCTTACTCTGTACAGAAATACATTTTTATTAAAGTCACTGAAGCAGAATTATTTTATGACAGAATGTTTCACATTTTAAATAATAGACACTGCATACATGCTGACTATTTGCGGACTTGATTAGACGGACAACTATAAAGGTGAACTAAACCAGGACAAAGTTATGGATTTACCCATAAAGTACGGTGGCCCAGAGAGCTCAATGCTCTGCAAATTACAAAAACACATGCAAATACACTCAACACAAGCAAATTAAGAAACATCTTCACCAATTTGAAATTCGATGCGCAGCATTTAGATAACCTCAAATAAAAAAAACAAGAATTTGACGTCATATGCAGCATTTCACCGTGTGAAACTTGATCTTACAAGCTATTATTGTTTGAATATTAGAGACCAAGAAGGCAATGGTGAAAAGTCAATGTGAAGATCAAGTTCTGGCAGTCAGAGACGATATGACTCCAGAGGAGAACAGAGAGAAATATAGTTCTGAAGTGATGAATGTTCGCCAACAGTTCAACCGCAGTCCAGCAGACAGGTTTTTTTTAATAGTTCAGTCAGTAGGACTGCAGAATCGAACACCCACCATGTTGGCTCAGTGCTGCTGGCTGTATTTATACATGAACCGAGTGTGTGTCATATCTTTACATCAGCAGGTCACAACATTCAGTGCAGACAGCTTTCTGACTCCAGATGCATCTTCTGAAATAGCGAAGCCTGTCCTGAACAACGTAGATTTTAAATCTTGCCTTGCACTCTAAGATAGCCAAATGGATTGTAAGGAGCACGCTGGCTAGTGAAACACTGGAGATGTCTGATGGCACCGATTTATATGACATAGCCACACTTCATGCTACATTTATGGTGGCAATAATCCGTAGTGGCACAGATGAGCAGTCGACAGGCGACGCAATGACAGAAAATAGAATCAGAGAACTCATTCAAACCTCAATAGAAATTGCTGGCACAGACTGTCTAAAGGAACAGTGTGCATCGTGGCATCAAAAGGCAGTGAAGGACAGTGAGAACTCCTGTAACACACGGAGTATATATGCAATTTAGTTTTATTATTTCACTTGAATGGTTCAAAATGTTATTTGCAAGAAATAGAAGCGGAACACACAGCTACACGGCACCACAAACTAATGACTTTTCTTATGAAGTTACAAAAACTATTCATTGCAATAAGCCTGCATGTGGGTTTCCATCTAAAGGCTGATGAATCTATTATATGGTTTGCCTCATCTGACTTTATATTTGTTATTTTCAGTACCCCCATTTTCTGAAGAGGGATTCCAACCGACTCCAGATCATGCTGCAGAGGAGGAAACGCTACAAAAACCGAACTATCCTGGGCTACAAAACGTTGGCTGTGGGAGTCATCAATATGTCTGAGGTACCGTATAGTGTTCAACTGGGGCATCACTTTCAATCACTTCCCTTTGTCAGCCTGGTATATTTCTCTCGAGAAACATAATTTTGCTCTGAGCTTGTGATTGCCTTCTGCTGTTCTCCGACAGTGACGGCTGTCGGTGTCCGTGTACCACGTCTTGGTTTGCCAGAGAGAGGGCCGCATGCGTTGCATATCATTTCAGATGACTCATGGTCATCACACGTACTGCTGTGTGAGATTATGGGCCATCTGGACCTGGCTTCACATACACTTTTCTAGAAGCGGTGCATTCAGCCATGCTATGCAGTGATAATGGAGCTGATAGAATGCCACCTGTGGATGCTTGCTTGATGTAGATATTTACAACTAAGCTTTTATTTGTCCTGATCCGGGTTATTTCATGTTGAGTACTGCCAGTACATCCCTCAGCTGGACATGCAGTGGGGACTTTGCAGTTACGTCAGACTGAATGTTTAACCACCGGGCCATCAAGATGCCGCTTTTTGCTTTGGCCTGTTGTCAGTGTGGATATTGCACATTGAAACGGCTGGCTGGTCTTAATTGTGCCACTCTGTGGGTCATTCACTTGCAACACTGTGCAGAACAAATGTCTTCCGGGGTGTTTTAACGCAGTGGGGGGGGGGGGTTGATAGCAGGCTTACGAACATGGATTGCAGTAAACAAAAGATTAGAAATTGCTCTTTATATAGCAGATACAGATCAATTTAAAATCGATCAGTTAATTGTTGTCCGATAATGGGAATTTTATAAATGATGTATTATTCTGACAATGAAATTATAGCCATCCAACCACCACGTAATGTTGTATTTGAGAGAAATCAGGATCAAGGCGGAGATAATGAAAGTCACGCTTATTTGGAATGCACCCGTTCATGCTCAGCCCATGTGACTCTCCACCAGTAGCCCCAGGACAGGAGTTGACTGACATGTGAAAACAAGGCTGATGCTTTATTATTACATTTTGAAATAACACTCAACCGCTGTGCTGCTTTTGGTGCTTGCTGCAGTGAAACGACCCACAGACTTCTATGAATGGAGCTAGATTGGCCATTACTGGATCCTGTTGGGTAATTATGTTGTCATCCGCTGTAGTGTAAACTCTCCCGTGCCCTCTTTCTGAATCTGTCGGGGCATTACGTGGGAGGAAGTCACTTATTGGACTTTGCATGCGGCGTTTGAGTGCTCCACTGCCAGTGTTTGAGCAAAATGATTCTACTCCCCGTGCAGCTATTCATCAAGTGAAATACTGAAAGCGCCCTTTCGCTTAGAATGAAAGCTCATACTGACTGGATGATATGAGCGAATTGTCTCTTTACTTAGAGATAGCATAGCTGTCATTTGCTAAATCTGCACGAGCATAAAGCAGTGTAACAGAAGCAATGTCACTCTTTGTTCTGTCGTTATTGGCTCAGTAAAGCGAGAGAATGTTCTTCCATCCTGCCTGTCGGTAGAAAAAATGTTATTTGTTCCATCTGCTTCGACATGGCTCGACAGAGTGATTGATAGACACGGGAATTGCACAAGACAATGAAGGCATCTCAGCTAGAGAGGACTTTGTATTTTTTCAAGAAACGATATTATTATTATTATTATTATTATTATTAGGAGCATTGCAGGGGAGGAATGAAATAACAGTGTTTTGGGTACAATTGGTTTAGAACCCGTTTTTGAATGGATTCTCAAAAACAATGTTCAGACTCGATGTTAATCTTCCCGTGTCCAGGTGATGCAACACCCGACAGACGGGGGACAGATTCTGGGTCTCCATAGCAACGTGAAGGATGCGCCAGTGCGTGTGGCGGAGATCAGCGTGCACTCTCTCTCCAGCCAGCCCATCGACCACGAGGACGGGAGCGGTCAGGCCGGCCACAAGACCAAAACCTCAGGTGAGCACAGGCGTCCCCCTAACGTGGGTCTGTCGGACAGGCCTGTACCAACGCTGCCCGGGCCAATCCCGTTTGTGATTTCAGCCGTCACTCTGGAGCCAGCCCTTCCTGTCCAGGCCCCTCTCTTCCCTCCTTCCACATGGCTCCTATTTCCCAACTGAGGACGGAATAAACTCCATTAATCCCAACCCCGACCGATGGCCAAGGATATGTTATTCTCCTCAGCTGAGCTATGGTTGTAATGTTGATTTTGAGAGTTGAAAACGATCGAGAGCCTATTGCCTTACGCTGTTCTAATTCTGAACGGGGAGAAATGTTGGGGCCCCGCTCGGACTCCACCCCTTCATCCCGCCATGCTGATCCCTCGCTGTTCTGGATGTTATTAAGGAGGACATTCAAATATAACGGATGAGCTCATGCACCGAGTATTAATACGAGTGTCACTCTGAGGCGAGGAGAGATGTTTATCTTTTTGCCTTTCTCCTCTGCAGTGGTCCTTAATCACATCCATCCCATCTAAGAGCACAGAACAGGATAGTTTCACAGGCGAAAGGAAGCCTGAAGTGGCTGTTAAGAACAAAAAGATCTTCCATCGCCTGATCAGTCCTCAGCTGTCAAACACGCAGTAAAAACCACATCTTTAGGAATCTTGGCTGACATTTAACAATCGTAAAACTTTCAACCGCTGAAATGTCATGAAAACTTAAACGAAATGTGAGACACGGATCACAAAAAGAGCCCTACATTCTAATCTGTATTCAGCATGCACATTAAGCATTTGATTATGTCCACAGATATGTTTTTCCCCATTACCGTAGCTCATTATTCATGCCAAGTAGTCCAAACTATTCTTTACTGATGAACTGTAAACAATAGGACAGGATATTAAGCAACTTCATCCACAAAAGATGGAAAATTGTCTTCGGGCTCAAACTGATATTTGTGAAAATTAAACTGAAATCATCATTTACAAAATCAGAGAATTAAACAGTTTTGTATGTTTCACTCATTGTGTCTTCCAGTGGCAGAATGAGAACACCATTTATTATTGAGTTGAGGAGGCTTGTTTTCACTCTGAACAAATTGCAAACTAGTCATTCTTTATTCCGAAAGACAGTCTCAGCACTAATAAGGCAGTGACCTTCGACCTTGACCCATTCCTCTCAGCCCACGTTTTTAAAGCATGTGGCCCGGGGGAGACCTAAAAATTTGAAACTTCACTTTGTGTAATGCTGGCTGATATAATGCTACACATGTGTCCCTGTGTTTTGATGTTTTTCTGTGTGTTCCCGTGCTTTGCCTACTTCCAGACCGCTCCCCAGACATGGATAACTATTCTGAGGAGGACGATGACAGCTACTCGTCGGAGCAGGAAGCCAGCGATGACGCAAATCATGGCCAGGTCAGTGCCAGAAAACGCTCAGGTGCAAACAGATCTGCAGCACCCAGCGAGATTAAATACATATAAGAAATCCAATGAACACAATCTTATACAGCCAAGCAAAATGTAAGAGTCGACTTGCCCTATTGAACATGCTGATGCATTTCATACTAGTGATGTTATATAAGAAAGAATAGCAGATTTTTGTCAGAAGCAGTTATGCGTTCACAGTTTTTGGTTTGTATAATACAGATGTTTCTACATTTAGCTTATATGCATGCAGGTAGAAATGCAGGGGCACTGTTGAGGTTTCAGATATCTCATCCAGCCTCTGTGTATTTCAGGACCTTTATGATGAAGACGACGAGGTGAGGAAGCCCAAGAAAGCCCGCAGGAAAATGATCCGAACGACCTCCATGACCAGGGTTAGTTGCCTCCTTTCCCACCACACGGAGTTTCATGCTCGCCAATCATTGACTGTGGGAGTAACTCAAGACCTGCTTTTGCTGTCGTACAAGCTTTTTTTAAGGAAAGCACACACCGTGTTCCATTTGTCTGAGCCATTAGGACGATGCGGATGAGCACGTCAATGAACCCTGTGGGCTCACTGGACTGATCATAATGGTCTTTACATAGAGTGGCTGCGAATGAGTAATCCAGTGGACGGTTACTGGGAGAACCGATGAGCCCGAGCCCAGCTGTCATGTGTATTTAATGACAGTTATTCCCTTTTCTGTTTTATTTTCCCTCCTAATTGCATGTTGTTGTTTTTTCTGTTACAGCAACCTAACTTCAAGCAGAAGTTTGTGGCCTTGCTGAAGAGGTTCAAGGTAACAGATGAGGTGAGTGTGAAAACAATAATTGCTTTTGTTTTGATTGACACCCGAAGAAGATATTCAATGTCAAAGAAAACGGCGTGGGGTACAGCGTCCTCTCTCAGGCCACCCTCCTGGAATCTCAGTCCGTCTGTTTATGAAGCTTTTAGCGAGTCGACTGTGAAACATATCAGTTAATATATTGGCCTCGGGGCCGGGGAAAACAATCTCAGTATTGACTGTCTAAACAGCATATTGCTGCGGCTAAAGTGCCCCTGACTGGAGAGGAATCGTCACCACAGCGGAGGTACAAGCATCATTATGGTGCCCGGCTGCGTTACCTCTGTGTTCCTGGATGTATGATTCATACCGTTCCATTAGCAGGATCCATTAACGACCCTTATTCTCTACCACTTAATCTAGTGATCAATGGCAGTTTGTATGCACGCCTCGTTTAGGTTTGTGTTTCTCATCTCTCAAAGTCCTTTTCGAATAAATGTTTCTGCGGATCCTACATATAATGGCTTGTAATCGGGTCATCAGCAGGAAGTCAACCATTTTATTTGCAACAACCCCCTAGATGTCCATTAGTACATAATCTGTGTTAGGCCATTATGATGTTAATAAATCTCCTTGAACTGTGAAAAATATTGGAGTAATTGAGATTTCCATTGCCTTGTTGCTCATCTTTCTGACCCCAAAAACATAGATGACATTAGAAACAGATTAGGCTCTGATTTAAACTACAGGTTTTCAAACCTTTAGGTTTATCTGTACCTTCTGTAGGCTTTCAAGAGCCTCTAGGCCATCGGAGTTGTGTGTTGCTGGATGCTTCTAGAAGCTCCAGGTGGCCCGCAGATCTTTCATCACCTCCCCTGTCTCTAATCCCTTCCTTGTGGCCGGCCACGGTGCAGGGCCACAGCTCTATAAATACATAGCCGGGAGGAGGAGAGGGGGACAGACTGTGTTTATCTGTTCCCTGCCAGCTTCAGGAGTGGCATTAATCACCTGATTAGTCCACAAGCCTGCCTGTGTGCAGTTCCTATGATATACATCCCCACCATGCAGCTGGCAGATCAAGGCTCGGCACCTTAGCACTCCCTTACCTTTTAATTGGCCTGCTTAGGACCAAGGCAGGGATGTATTTATAGCATAGATTTTTTAATTTTACAGCCTTCAGTGTCATTCTTCAAGCTCCATTAGCCCAGCTGTGAAAGTGATTAGCTAATGGACAGCACCAGCCACTCCCTCCATCCATGGCCGTGATAACAAATCCCTGATCACTGTGTACTGATGTGTTGGAGTGTCTGTCCCGTGCATCAGGTCCTGGACTCTGACCCAGTTGACCAGACCCAGGAAGTGGAGGAGGATCTGGACCTACTCTACGACAGCCTGGAGGTGTACAACCAGAGTGACAGTGGGCCAGAGATGGAGGACAACGAGAGCGTCCTGAGCACGCCCAAGCCCAAACTCAAGTATGTCTGTACTGAACCTCTTTCATCGAAGGCCATCTTCTCCGAAATAGTCTTAGTATTTATAGATGTTACATAATTTCTGATCACACCCTGTATGTTGTTATAATAAAAGCATTTTTTGTTAGTTTTGTCTAATTCCAATCTTTGTTTTTGTTTTCAGGCCGTTTTTTGAAGGGATGTCTCACTCCAGCTCCCAGACAGAAATTGGAAGCATACACAGCCAAAAAAGCCAGCAGAGAGAGCTGTCGTGTCCTGTAAGTTGATCGCACAGCACTCTATTAAAAAAAACCAAAAAAAAAAACCCGTCTGATGCCTTTCAGCCCCATCGCTCACCCACAAAGGTCCGCCTCTCGGTTGCTGGAGAGGCTCTTTTTGTACACAGGGTTACGTAAAGGAATTGCCCCAGGACAGTGTTTAAATGTCTGGCAGTCCTCTGTGCTTGTTGTGGTTCAGGGAGTCCCAAGGACCATGATACGACAGGCAAGATATTCTGAGCATGAGTGCAATGCTGCTCCCACCCCTGCAGAGGACGGGGGGGGGGGGGGGGGCTGTAGCCCGCAGCCCGCACCCTGCACCCTATTCACCCCTACAGCCCTCTAGTATTTACAGTGCATCCGGAAAGTATTCACAGCGCTTCACTTTTTCCACATTTTGTTATGTTACAGCCTTATTCCAAAATGGATTAAATTCATTATTTTCCTCAACATTCTATACACAACAACCCATAATGACAAAGTGAAAACTGTTTTTTGCAAATCTATTAAAAATAAAGAACGAAAACATAACATGCACATAAGTATTCACAGCCTTTGCCATGACACTCAAAATGTAGCTCAGGTGCATCCTGTTTCCACTGATCATCCTTGAGATGTTTCTACAACTTGATTGGAGTCCACTTGTGCTAAATTCAGTTGATTGGACATGATTTAGAAAGGCACACACCTGTCTATATAAGGTACCACAGTTGACAGTGCATATCAGAGCATAAACCAAGCCATGAAGTCCAAGGAATTATCTGTAGACCTCCGAGACAGAATTGTATCGAGGCACAGATCTGGCGAAGGGTACAGAAAAATTTCTGCAGCATTGAAAGTCCCAATGAGCACAGTGGCCTCCATCATCCGGAAATGGAAGAAGTTTGGAACCACCAGGACTCTTCCTAGAGTTGGCCGCCCAGCCAGACTGAGCGATCGGGGGAGAAGGGCCTCAGTCAGGGAGGTGACCAGGAACCCGATGGTCACTCTGACAGAGCTCCAGTGTTGTTCTATGAAGAGAGGAGAACCTTCCAGAAGGACAACCATCTCTGCAGCACTCCACAAATCAGGCCTGTTTGGTAGAGTGGCCAGACGGAAGCCACTCCTCAGTAAAAGCACATGACTGCCCGCCTGGAGTTTGCAAAAAGGCACCTGAAGGACTCTCAGACCATGAGAAACAAAATTCTCTGGTCTGATGAAACAAAGATTGAACACTTTGGCCTGAATGCCAAGCGTCATGTCTGGAGGAAACCAGGCACTGCTCATCACCTGGCCAATACCATCCCTACAGTGAAGCATGGTGGTGGCAGCATCATGCTGTGGGGATGTTTTTCAGCGGGAGGAACTGGGAGACTAGTCAGGATTGAGGGAAAGATGAATGCAGCAACGTACAGAGACATCCTCGATGAAAACATGCTCCAGGGCGCTCTGGACCTCAGACTGGGGCGACGGTTCATCTTCCAACAGGACAACGACCCGAAGCACACAGCCAAGATAACAAAGGAGTGGCTTCGGGACAACTCTGTGAATGTCCTTGAGTGGCCCAGCCAGAGCCCTGACTTGAACCCGATTGAACATCTCTGGAGAGATCTGAAAATGGCTGTGCACCGATGCTCCCCATCCAACCTGATGGAACTTGAGAGGTTCTGCAAAGATGAATGGGAGAAACTGCCCAGAAATATAGGTGTGCCAAGCTTGTGGAATCATACCCAAGAAGACTTGAGGCTGTAATTGCTGCCAAAGGTGCTTCAACAAAGTATTGAGCAAAGGCTGTGAATACTTATGTACATGTTATGTTTTCGTTCTTTATTTTTAATAGATTTGCAAAAATTTGCAAAAAACAGTTTTCACTTTGTCATTGTGGGTTGTTGTGTATAGAATGTTGAGGAAAATAATGAATTTAATCCATTTTGGAATAAGGCTGTAACATAACAAAATGTGGAAAAAGTGAAGCGCTGTGAATACTTTCCGGATGCACTGTATAAGGACTAACACAGAACGACCTCTCCACCACCATCAACACACACACACACACACACACACACACACACACACACACGTATATGCTCGGAGAGAAGATTGGATGGAGCAATCCCTGAACTTCTACTCAGATTTATGGCCCATTGGAAACAACAAGGACAGAGAGAGAGAGAGAGACGTTGAGTGTAATGGTTAGAGAGGGAGTGCTGTTTATAAATATCAGGGAATCCATTTTAGCCTGTAATAAAAAAAGCCGGGCGCATTTCAGACTGCTATAGCCTTCTATTTCGCTCAATAAATGTCTCCATTCGAACTTCATAAACCTGTCTTGCAGGCAAAATGGAAAGTATTTGATCTAATATTGAAATTAACTAGATGTTACGAGCTGCACTTAAACACTTTTTGTCAGGCGAACTTGAGCTCACAAGTGTGTCCGTAATTCTCTGGGGGCTTATGTATTAGCAGGCGCCTGGGTGAAACGTATAGAAGCCTTGAGAGATATTTATACTCCCCAGCTCTGCCACCGTCACCAAGCTCGACGGTGTGGAGCTGCCACTGTGAAATTGGCCAGTTACGCGTCCCAAGAGCGGTCAATCTTGACCCGAGCAGATGGAGTGTAGCACTTCCATAAGGAGCTGTGACAATTTGTCAATTTGTCATTTATACACCAGAGAAGTGACCGCCGTGGTTAAAATGTGTGTGTGTGTGTGTGTTTGTGTGTTTGTTTGTTTGTTTACCCTGCAGAGTGGAGACTTTCTGACCGTGGACAGATGTAAATTGCAAGGGGCCCGGTACCAAGACGACAGCGTCACAGATACAGTCGTTGGGGTATGTGTTTGGAACATCAGCAGTTTTACTTTTTTTTTTTTTTTGGTTTGTTTGTTTTTAACTAAATCTCCCTCGAGCATCTCTTTCTCCGATTTCTTTCCACTTGAGTGCCCTTTCCTCCCATGAGTCTTAGTTGTTTTCCAGGAAAGAGGGAGGGAGTATGCAAGGGCAGGCGAACCAAACAGCACAGTCATCCATTATGGATCAGTGGAGCAGACAAGGCGGCCCCGTGCTGGATAAATCCTGACTGATGAGGATTGAAAGAGGGCTGTTAGTGTTTGTTGTAGTCTTTGTGCCGTCGGGTCAGCCGAACCTTGCTCGGCGGCCATCAGCACCCTCTCTTGTCGCACCGCTCCAGTTCAAAGTGAATACCTAAAAACTGCAGGAACCTTGTCTCCCCTGCCACCTGCTAAGAGACCCCGACTTATATATATATTTTTTTAATAATCTTATCCTTCATGGTGGCCTCGCATCATTATCTCCAACCTCAACAGCACAGCTCAATTATTTACCAGACCAGCACCTATCTCCCTTCCCCCCCGCCTCAACTCTTTTAACTCTTGCTCTTAAAATGCTGGCTGCAGATGCAGAAGCACAGAAAGAATACAGAGTGCCCCAGAACCTGCGTGAGACACTGACTGTGGTGGTGGTAGTAGATGGGACATGACGGCCCCCTTGGCTCATCTTTACCCCCCCCCCTCCTCTTTTGCTTTAGGAGCCAGAGACTGACGACAGGGGGCCACCAGCGGGGGAGGTGAGCAGCTGGGATGTCAACACTGAACGGGTGACCAGCACTGTTGGCAAGCTTTGCAAGACGGAGTCCCAAAACCACATGTCTCCCAGGTACACTGCCGACCGCTACATCTGCAAACATGCACACAAGATAGTGTTGTCTTCATCTATGTACACAAGCTACTTAAGATGTTCATCTTGTTTTTAAATGTAATTTGGATTGTGGGTTACCTTCTGAGCCCAGTTGATTAGCTTCCCTGCTCCGCCTGTCGTGTACTTTGAGCTCCTTGTGCTTTGTCGTCTCCTTCAGCAAAGTGGAGAACAGGCTACAGAGGCGTCCCCGCAGCACCTCCATGAAAGACAGACAGAACTCCAAGGCCCAGAGCGACAGGACCAGCAGCATGGAGAGCGAGTGCTCCCCTGACTCGCGACTCATAGCGCAGGTAGACGTGTTGCAGATGCGTTCTTCACACACATTTTTAGTCCGGCGGAGATGTGCTCAGACTCTCGGCTTCTCATTCGTCTCCAAGGTTCCCAGGAAGTCTGTGTATGACCAGCTGAACCAGATCCTCATCTCTGACGAACGCCTGCCAGAGAGCATCATCCTCATCAACACCGTGGAGTGGCAAGGACAGGTGTGTGTCGTTCATCTCTTCATATATCCGATGAGCTTGGGTCTCACAGGGCTTGCTGCAATTATTTCCCGGCGTTATTGCACAAAGACTGAAATACAAAAGAATACTGTTGTACCACAGTAGCATGTTTTTTTGGGGTTTTTTTCCCCCGCTGTCTCTCCAACCCGATCAACCCTGCTTCTTGCACACCCATTAACCCATCGTGTCCCTCTTGTGTGTTTTCCCTGCAGTATGTGTCCGAGTTGCTCCATGAACAGGGCCAGCCCATTGTGTCCACCTGCTCTGCCGCTGATGTTCAGGCTGCCTTCAACACCATCGTCACTCGCATCCAGAGATTGTGAGTGGCATACGCATGCACACACACGCACACACACACACACACGCATTGGTTGAACGACACAGGGCCCCCACATGGTGTTATCTCGCTGCCTGTTATGGCGGAGTAGTCCAGGCCAAACTGTGTATGTTTATGGTGGCTTGCTGCCAGAGAATTCCAGGACGGTATCGCTCACGCTGCTGAAGCTGCTCTCTGTCTGTGAACCCGTTCTATCTAAATGTGCTCGTTTTGCCACAAAAAGCTAAAGTTCAGCCTTCGTCTCTCTTCCTGGCATCCATCTGTGTCAGTGGCAGACGGAGGCTGTGTCAGTCCGCGGCGCTGCTTCCGTTAAACCCGTTTTTCTCTTTTAGCCCAGCTGAAGCGCAACTTTTCCATCCTTTACACACCTGCTCCTCAGTCAACCTGTTTGCTCCCGCTGCGGCCGTGTCATGTGGAGCCATGTGCGTCTCTGATGTATGACATGCTCGCTCAGTGCTGTCGCTGCTGTAGCGGGCTGCAGGGTTTTTCCTCAAATGTTGTCACTGAGTATATGGACATTTTAAAGCCCACATATATTAAGGTCCCGTTCTGCTATTGGACATTATAATCTTACTTTATGACCCTTTAATGTCTCAAATTGAAGCATTTAGTCCTTAAGAAGGTCCTTGAAGTGACTTAAATATCATAATTAATCGTAAGAGGTCAAGTTTTGAACACTTTTAAGGGTTTAATTCCTTTTTGAGCTTAACTTGGTTGAGTTTACTTTTTCTGTTTAGACTCATTTTAAAGATGAATTTCTGTCTCATTGTAGGATTAGGATCTAAAAGCTGTTGCAATATTCGGTGTAACTTCAGAAAGACTTGCAGATACCTGCAAGTACCTGGTATTACAAATCATAACATGACGCCACCTGGCTCTCAATAAAAGATGGGACCGGTTTTGAACCAGTAAAAACCCTGCTGAGATATAAATCTTCAGGCAGCCAAGAAATCTCTCACCCACATCTGACCCTCATCTTCCAGGATTCAAAACTCTCTCTTCCTCTTAATTACTCATTCCCCCTCTTCTCCCACGCAGCTGTAACTGCAATGCACAGACACCGCCGACGATGAAGGTCGCGGTGGCAGGTGACCAGAGTTACCTCAGCACCATCCTGAGGTTCTTCGTGGAGCAGCTGGCCAACAAGACGCCTGACTGGCTCAGTTACATACGCTTCCTGGTGATCCCCATCGGTAAGTCATCCCGGATTAGTACGAGCACGACGTGGTTTCAGCTTTGTTTTATACTCACATTTTTCTTTTCTACTCCAGGTTCTCACCCCCTGGCAAAGTATGTGGCCTCCTTCGACAGCCGGTTCAACAGCATCTTTATGGACACTGCGTGGAGGGAGCTGTTCTGCAGGACGGAACGGCCCGCCTCAGGTAGGATGCATAGCTCTGGTGTCTGGCTACAAAGCAAGTCTGCGTGTGTAATGTTCGGCAAACTTGAAAGGGAAAGAAATTGGGTCAGAGCATGGGTCTGGGACTGATGGATGAGAAGAAGAGATTTTTTTCCCCAATTGCAAAAGAGGGCTACAGCCAATGGCTCTAGATTATGGCGCTACTCCTCCTCCCTGTAAACTATCCGCTGCTGCTTAAGAAGACCACCGGGCTGTCAGAACTCCAGTTTGTAAGTCTTGGAATTGTTTGCTGGCACACACACACACACACACACATCCATGGTTAAACTTTTGTTCACATCCCTTTTTCCCCTCAATTCTCACTTGTTCTGCCCAGACAAGCCCAACAACCCTCACCCATCCCCACCTAATATTTCACTTCATTTACACCGCGTAGGTGCCAGAGTTACATTCTCACACACCGTGTTGAATCACCTCAAAAGGGGTTTCAAGCTAAAGAAATAAAAGATGTAAGAAGAAAATAATACTGGGTCTTCTTACCTCATTCTTTTATCTTTGACATTAACTGCCTTCACAACACGCAAGGCAGTGTTTAGATGGGAATGGCTGTGAGTGCTTTCTTTCACAAGGAGAGTTAGTTTAGACTGCAGAGAGGCAATAGGCCCAAATAAGTTGACATTAAAAAATCAGCCCGTGTTGGTTAAAGTGTAGCCCGGGCTGCATGTGGCCCAAAGGCCTTCAGTCTGACACACAATTCATCTCATCCTCTCGTCGTACGGAGGACTTCACCCCCCCCCCCCCCGCCCCTCCTACTTCAGAGGAAGGGAAATGATTAATGCGTCGTCTTCCAGCGATCTGCTGTGTGAAAATTAGCATCCGAATCAATTGTCTCGCGGCTTGTTAGCCAGACATGAAACAGAAGAAACGCGTTGTTAACAGTCTGTCTCCCCGCTCCCCGCAGACAACATAGATGTAGCGGGACGAGTCGTTCAGTATCTGGTCGGTGCCAACGTGTCCCACCAGTTCCCCATCTCAGAGGCGATGCTCACCTACAAACAGAAGAGGTAAAGTACCGTTGATCGTTTTAAGTTTTGAGCACACTCATGTGCTGCATATGTTTGTGTATGCATGTATGTTTCTGTGCTCTTTTAAAGCATGATTTTTAACTTTGAGTACTGCTATTGATGTCCAATATGTCTATTGGCTCATTGAAAATGAGTCCTAGAACAAAAATAGCCACGGCTGATCATCAGTTAAACTGCATGAGGAAGATGTTTCAATGCATATGCATGCACATTCATAAATTAAACGCACACAAGTTGCACAGGTCAGTCGTCACCTTGGAGTTTATTCTGACATGCATAAAGGAGTCCAGGAGACGCAGGCTCTGGTCCACTTCAAGTGAAGCTGATGTTATATTTCATAGAGCAGCGCAGGCTTCTGCTTCCAAAGTCCAACGTCAACCCGGCCGTCAGTCTCACAAACACAGACGCACTCTACAGACAGTCCGTAGCATTTTTGTGTGCATCCTATTGGTCAGAAGGTACTGAACACAACACACAGCTTTAACTCTGTTGCATTCCTTCTGCCCCCTTTCCCTTTTGATTTGCATTCAAGGAAAAGAAGTTTGTATTTTGATTTTTACATCAGGTATCTAATTCAACTCTTGGTTTTTGTTTTTGAACCTCCCTATTTTCTCGCCTCCATTTGGCTTGAGTCCCTTGCTGTGTCTTAACATTTCCCTCTTCACACTCGATACTCACTGTAACTTCACTCTGCACTCTGTCCTGACTGGTGTCTTTGGTTTGGTGTGTCTTTTTGATTCTGTCCTCTGTGTTGTTGCTATGAAGATTTGCCTAACAACCTTTGAAAAGGACCCGAAGTATTGACAAATTTGAAACCAGTCATTTTACAGATTTCATAATGACTTGAAAATGAGCTGCCCGGCGTGTATTGGCTCACCCTCAGGAGTGGCTCCATAATCATACACTTTCAATATTAGTGACTGCTGAGACGACTGCGAGGCAAATCAAGTATTTCAATACCAGTCAAAAGAAATGATATCAAAGTGATATTTCCCTCTGATTCTAACCTGCGTGAATACTACTCTGAACTCTGAAACACATGTGTTTCTGCATGTATGTATAAAACAAAGTAATACCTACTTACCTTATATTACATTATGTTACAGCTTGTGATGCCCCATGGGGCTTTGCAAAACCCTTACCTTGCAATATGTAAAACATCACTGAAATATAAAGATATGATAGAGTGCTGGTGCTCGAGGTGGGAAGATTGCTGGGGATTGTAGTCCTTGTACCAGCAGCGCTGCTCGTCCTCCACTATGGTTGCCGCATGTTAGAAGACATTTTGCAGAAAGATAACACTATCTCACCGCTTCCCTGCTGAATCTTTGGGTGTACTTTTGAATTGCTGTGCTCTGCGTGTGTATTCAACTTTATTTGACAATGCCTGCCGTGCTGTTCCCCCCCCCCCTAACTTTGTGTAGGCATGTATTGTTGCACCGGTGGCTCGGCACTAGTAGTGTAAAGAAGCCAGGCGGTGACTACGACTGGGCCCATTTAGTCCCATGTTTTAAAAATGATTCCTAGTACTGGCTGATGAGAAAGACCCCTTCTTGTCTTGGTTGTAAGGAGCGTTCCTTCCCATTCATCTCGTTGTAACATAAACCCAAGATGACCCCATTTCACCCAAGCCAGTCATGTGCCATTTCTGCTGCGATGGGACATGGTGCAGGTCATGCCACAGCCATCTCCCCTCCAGGACCATTGAGTGTTCGTGTGCACCTCTGGAGTGTTGACTTGTTGAAACCCCCCCCCTCTGGTCATAATCACAGCCTCTTTACTGTCTCCCTTTACAGCCCTGATGAGGACTCCTGTCAGAAATTTGTGCCATTTATTGGGGTAGGATTTAATTTGTTTGCCCGACAGTATTGTTGATTCTTTGTGTTTGATCTGGTCTTACATGGAAAACTTCTTTTTATTCTTGCAGGTTGTGAAAGTTGGGATTGTGGAGCAAAGCCTCTCAACTTCAGGTAAGGAAGGGCTTTGTTGTTTTTAAAGGTGTGCTAGTATTTTGTCAGGTTAGCGTGTTCAACATTGCACCGTTGATGAGGAGACAGAAACCTTACGAAACACAAAAGTCTCTCCCTTGATGCTGATTCAGATCTGGAAAATGACCCGGAAACCTCAATATTCTTTCATTTGTTTACTTAATTTATTCGTTTGGGTTGTGGCTATGTTTAGTTTTACTTTGAAGCTTTGTTTATGAGACTATTCCCTTCTCCCCCCCCCCCCGATTTCGCAGTGGACTCAGATGATGCGATGGGGGTCAACACAAGCATCCTCTCCTCCCCAACGCCACCATCGGCTGGTCCGTATGGGAAGGAAATAGGGGGCACCCCCCCGCAGTCACCGTCTGTGTCCACCGCCCTCTCTGGAACTGGGTACGACAATACACACACACACACACGCAAAATTATCAGCAACAATACTACATCCTATTATTTTTTTTATTTCTCACTGTGAGCTGTGCTTTAGTAGGGAAGTAAAACAAGGAAGTTTCTGTGGTGTTCCTGACTTTGCCGGTTGTGCTCTGCAGCTCTCCGTGTTCAGGCAGTGAAGTGATGGGGCTTCAGGTGGACTACTGGACGTGGCAAGGCCCAGAGAAGAAGAAAGAGGGCGAGAAGAGAGACGTGGGACTGAAGAACACCCTGAAGAGCAACTTCCGTTCACTGCAGGTCAGCCGCCTGCCGTGTGGAGGGGAACTCACCCCCCCACCCAGCATGGCCATGACCGTGGTCACCAAGGAGAAGAACAAGAAAGGTACGCTTTGGAAAAAAACATGACTGAAAAGATCTAAAGTAAATCAAAACATATGGAATGATTGTATCTGATAGTCAAAGCACTTTTTCTGACAAATGTAGCACATTTGTCTGGTTCGAAACATGTCCATGCATGAGACAGATGTTTGGGAAAAGTAAAAAAATGACCAGAGAAGGGTTAACAGTACTCTGCAGATTTTGCATTACACCTCTTTATGTTGTCAGACTCACAATGGACAGTTAAAAAAAAAAGAAAGGATCAAAAGCGATGCACACCGAGTATGACGTAAGATTGAGTATGTGGTGCGTTCACTCTGCATTGTATGTGGAGTTTGTGTACGTGGGGAAATGCCTGTATGTATACTACATTAGCAAGAAGAACAGTATGCTTACTCATCAGCCCCACAATGCATTGCGTCTGGGTGCCTTGAGACCGGCCGTCAGTCCTGTGTGTGATTTTGAGCCAGCTGTTAAAATCTGTCATTTTATTAAGTTTCAGCATGTTTTTACTCCCCAGGAACTGAAGAACTGGCAACGCACCCTGATGTGTAAAATTGAAAAGAGAGTGCATAAAGAAATATGTGTAGAAAATGATTTGTTTTATCCCCGTTTTTCTCTCCAGTGATTTTTCTCAGCAAGAAGCCCAAGGAGAAAGAGCTGGACTCTAAGAGCCAAGTGATTGACGGCATCAGCAGGTTGATCTGCACAGCGAAGCATCAGCACACAATGCTGAGAGGTGAGGCGCCCCCCCCCCCCCCCACACACACACACACAGCTGAGGCTACGCTGCCATCTGGTGTCGCTGTGCACCATAACAGCTGCCAGTGCAAAGTCAGACGCGTCTATCCTGAAATGTTTAATGTGTTTTGCACTTCCTCCTGCGTTTACATGTGAACCTTTTCTTCGTCCTCAGTCACGATCGATGGAGTGGAGTGGAACGATGTGAAGTTTTTCCAGCTCGCTGCCCAGTGGCCAACACATGTCAAGCACTTCCCGGTGGGGATCTTCGGTTACACTAAGCCCGTGTGACTGCGGCCACCATCCATCCGACCATCACCAGACTGTCCGCTGCACTTGTCTTGTTTAGGCTACAGAGAAGTAGAAGAAGAGCCCTCCCCCCGGCAGTAATAGTTTTCCTGTGGAAATCTTGCTGACTCGCAACCACGTGTTCAATACACAAATTTCATGTTGTCAAATGGATGTTTTTGATGTCGACGTTGTTGGGTGTTGTTGTTGTTGTTGTTTTTTTTTACACACTACAAAAAGAACAAGTACTATTTTGTAAGATTTGTGCTACCGCCTCGGAGGTCTCTTGGGGGTATTTTGACAATTTGCCACATTTCGATAACGGCAGCTGTGTTTGCACTTTGTTTTTGTTAACATTTTATTATTTCTGTGAAATCCTACATTTATTGTTACTCTATAGACAATGGAGGAGTGTGATGGTGACGTGCAGTGGCGTGTGTGAGGTTGTTTGAGACCGTGTTTGTGTTTATTGTTGAAAGTTGGAATATTGCTGTGAATCTAGATGGAATCCTTCTCTTCTAACTCAGTGCTCAGTTTTCTTACTCGTCCCTTTACTTTCCCAAAAAGGTAAACTTTTATAGAAAGATACGGCAAGTTCTGTTTGTCTCGTTGCTTTTTAGGACGCCGTGTACCTAAAGTGAATGCTAAGAAAATAACCTAACGTAAGGTATTTTTGAAGGTGGCTATGATGAATGTAGCTATGGAGCATTTGTAACATGTAAGAAGTTCAAATCAAATCAGCTTGTTATTGTGAGTGTTTGTATCGGTGTACATTCAGACTGTACAGTAACATCTACTTAGAAGCCAGGTAACGTGACACCACAAAACATATTTCCACTATCAACAGCTGAATGCCAAATTTAGTTGCGACTGTATGAACTGTCTTATTGTTTCAAGGCCCTCCCCCCACACACACACACCCCGTCGTGTTCAGCTCGATGTACTGGTTTACCTGGGCGATACTGGATACTGGATTTCTCCAGATGTGCAGTGACGTGCCAAAGTCAAGTTTTACAGTGTAACCACCAGAGCTCTTGGCTGGGCCAAACTTCATAGTATGTTGACCAGAGAACTAAAACCGTACATTTAATGCGTCTGTGGTCCCTGTGGAGATCAGTATTTAGATTACTGAGATATTAATCTTGGCAAATTTACCAGTTAGTGCTCCACATTTAGCCAGATGTAATCCCATTAAGCATTTACAGGACGTGCACACATCCTAACCAAGCAATTACCGTTTTGTTACAGCTTCACCGTAGCGGGACATTAGAGTTGTGACCTGACCTAAAACACACTGATGGGTCGGTCAGTCAGTGTTGTGTAGGCCTGCTATGGGAAAATTAGTTGGTCTTGAAACATGCTTCGGCAGTAGTGTCGAGCGCAATACAAGTATTGAAAAACTTTTAAAAAATATGGTGTATGGAGTCTTGCCAGGTGTCCGAGTCACTGCCTGTGTGTGTGTGTGTGTGTGTGTGTGTGTGTAGGTGTGCTATGTGTTTGATGGTACTCCCTGAATAGTGTTACGTGAAACTTTTGCAATAGGAAACCTTTGGACAAAAGGCCTTCTGTATGAGGTAGTTGTTGCTTCTTTTTTTTTTTTTTTATAAAAGTGAACACTTACAAGCTTTGATTGGCTGGCTTTTTTTTAGTAATGTATATAAATATATACATATAATTTTGTGAATTGCAACCCCTCCCCCAATCCCTCCCCTCCCACTAAATTTAAAGCACAAATAGCTTCCCTTTATTCCTTGACATAAATGCCAAATATATATATTTCCAGAACTCATAACTATGAAGTCGACTTGTACAAAGCAAACACTTATTAGGTTTGTCATCTCTTACATTTCCCTGACTTTGTAATGCACTTTCATGTGGTTTTATACATATTTTCACTCAAATTGGGACACTTTCTTTTTCTGTTGAGGTGAGCGTGTTGTATTTGAAATGTAAACCACTACCTGTAGTCAAAAGGAGGCCGTTCTTTTGTTTGCTCAATGATCCTTTTTCATAGGGATGTTTATGTTGATGGTGTTCGAGCGTCCTGAGGTTTGCTGTCTGTTACTTTGTTTTTGCCACTTGATGTTGAAAAGCTTGTTCTGCAGCTACCACCATACGTGTCTGCCTGTGACTTTACGGTCATGTTTTCTTGTCTCCTGCTTTTCGAAGTGTTCGCCATCTTCTTTCAGTCGGGGAAACCAACTGGCCCTTACAGATGTGTAAACTCGGGCTGTGAAGCGTTCGCCAGGGCAGAGTTGTTTGAGGGAATTTGTCATGAGAATTAGCCTTTTGAATTCTAAATGGGCATAATGACAAGTGTATTTCAATGTGTTTGACCTCGAGTTTTTTTTTGTTTTTTGCCCTAAATCTAGACGTAGCATGGGGGTGTTTCACAAGACCGGATCAATGAGCGGGCATGCTCACTCTGTCGCCATCATTTAGCACAGCAACCAATGAACTCTGGAACATCAGCGATTCATTAATGGTGACGCTACAATTCCAACATGCCATCTCGTTGCTCCTGTTCCTTGAAATGCCACCCAGTGTCTTTGCACAAACCCTATTTTAAACGACATGACAGTATTTTTAAATTTACCACTACAAAATATGGATTACTCTGCATGTTTTACTATAGATGTAAATATGTTTTGGATTTTTATATTGTTTTGTTTCTTTCCATGCTCTCACAAGCGGTTGTGTTTAATAAAATTTTTAATCTTCTGTACAAACGGCTCATCTTTATTCATGTCAACATTACAAGGGTCAAACAAGAGTCGACACTGTGTGTTACTTGGCTGAGATTGAGGGCAGGTTGACGTAAACCTTCATCGGCGGCAGCGGTTTGATCTTGCGTCCTGCCCAGCCTCCCTTTCTCTGCCACAGGCCGCTTGAGGGGCGGATGCCGAGCCAGCGGTTGCGCCCGGCTTTGCCGATGATCCGTTTATTGTGGTCGATGTTGGACACGCGTCCCACCGTCACCATGCAGGTCTCCAATACCTGCGTTTGTGTCAAGATGACAGTATTCAGAGCAGAGCATGGTTGTAACACAGCAGGTGGAGTGTGAATCCAGATAAACTCACCTGAACCTGCTGCTTCGAAGGAAGCTGAATGATTGCCGTTCCGTTTACTTTACGGAGTAAAATGCCACTTGTGCCTGAAAAGGAACAACACACGACATTTCAGTTTAGGAATTATGAGACCCCTTTTTTCACAGCAGCTATCACCTTCTTCCTGAGGCATTTAACCATCGTATGAAACAATTGATCTCTGTAATTAAACTGTCACAGCAAAAGAACAAATTAGGTGTAGGATATGGCGGCATCTGGTGGTGAGGTTGCAAACTGCAACCAACTGAAATTTCTCTTGCTTGCCAAGCTTGTAGGGGAACGACAGTGGCAGACGCTAGAGCCAGTGTTTGGTTTGTCCTCTCTGGGCTACAGTAGAAACATGGTGGCCGCTTTGTATGTAGATATAAACGTCTCCTAATTTCTTAGGTATTGAAAAAACACCATTCTTATTTTATGGTGATAATACACAAAGGAAAAGATACTAATAAACATTCCATTCCTGCGAATAGATCCCACTACTCGTGGTTCCTTTGTAACTGGACTGAATTTATGATTGGAATCCATCACCGCTTTATGACATTTCTAAGAAGATCCAAACATGCATTTAGGAAACACCAAGTACAAACACAGTCAAATAATAGACTACCTGCAGCACGGATGTACTCTGACCCCTTCCCTGGTTGTATCTCCAGGCTGTTCACCAGTGTCCCCACAGGAAGAGCTCCCAGTGGGTACGCATCACCCTCATTGGCCGAGACTGCAAAGTAAAACAAAAGTAAACAACATCATTTAATGTTAAATGCAGACGATCTTTACTCCCATCATCTCGAGTGAAGGTTGGAAACACGACAAACCAGAGTTGATCTCATACCTGCCATGCGTCCAATAACTCCAGATGTTTTAATGATGTCTCCGGCCTGCATGTTCTCCGTGGCAATAATCCATCTTTTCCGGCTGCCTCCAGCTACCAGGGCGATGTCAGCGGACCTGTGTAGCACAGATTATGACCACCGACTGTGTTCAGAACGCATAATCAAAGAGTCACCGTGTGGCGAACGCTGACCTCACCTGCATGGGTCGTATCGCACTTCTACCACCTTCTCTTCAAAGGGCCGCGCCTCATTGTTGGGTTCGTAGCGCAGTCGCTGAAAGTCGATCCACCTGTATTTTTGTTTATGGCCTCCACCGATGCCGTGTGTCCGTATCCTTCCTGCACGGCAGCACAAAATGCGTCACTAAATGCTGACGGCCCTTTACTCAAGGCTGAACTTCACTTCTGATGGACCACTTCAGTGGATATGAAAATGATTAGGTGATTCTCATACTCATAAAATGATCAAACAGGTGCTCTATTTCATGTTTCAAACCAGGCCTGCAGATTATTCAAAACAATGAATTATCAATCATTCTGCCAATTATGTTCTCAGTTAATGGATTCATCAGTGTACAAAATTTCATAAATGGTAATAACAAAATATATCAAATAGATTGACGCTGAAGGCCAAAAGACTGTTTTAAACTCGGTTTGAGATTTGTATTATTTTAACCTATTAGTGAAAACAGAACAAGGGGCAAATCCAGACATGCGCATTAGATGCCAACCTCGTCGTCCTCCACACTATAATGCATTCTATTCTTCTGCATTGACCAGTGTTTTACCTGAGTGGTCTCTGCCTCCTGTCTTTTTCATCCCCATAGGCCTGGTGGTGTACTTCTCCCTCTGCTTCCAAAATGTCCTGTTCTGCTCCAGACAGGCTGTGGTGAGGAAGCCCCTGCACTGTCCGACCGCCGTGGGCACCTGAGCTCCCAGCCTGGTCTGTGCAATAGCCTGTAAACACAACAATAAGCAACATAGATTGTGTGGCGGTTGTGACGATTCGGAATTTCGGTGTGAACGACCGGCTGTGGATGTTTACCTGCGAGGAGAGCAGAGCAGGCTGGGAGAGAGTCAGGGAGCGCAGGGCTCGAGTGAGACACGACACCGCCATCATAACAACGTTCTCCTGACACAGCTGAGGAGCAGAGAAGAGCGGGTTTGACAGCTGGTGGTGGCTTCAGTCCATCTGTCTTTTCCACTACCAGGCGTGCAACTAAAGCTCCACTATATCCAATACGGTACAAACATTTCTCCTGCTTTTAATTCAGCATCTTACTTAACTCAGCCTAAAGGAATCAAACCATTAGAGGTCAATACAATAACACTTCCTACTAAGTACCAATTGTATCCTATAATGTCATAAGCCTAACTTTGCAGTAACCTTACCAAATGACTAATAAACATGAGCTATCGCTAGCTTAGCTTTAAGTTAGTCTGGCTCAATAAATACACCTACGTTTCATTTTCTGTTATAATAAACCGAGCCGAATTGGCCTCTTATCTCGTGTCCATTTGCAATATAACTCGGTGAAATAGTGACATAAACCAACCTTTTCATTTGACTTATTTCATCAACAAGCTTCTCGTCGGCGTCGCGCACTGATGACGTGGTCACCAACTCTGGGGTGTTACTGTGCAAGTTAAAGTAGACTATTTATAATATGACGTTATCCCCTGTCCCTTGTCAACAGCTTGCAGGGTACGTGTTTACACCTGAGTTAAACCTGTCATAATACACAGAGTACAGTAACATTAGATACATATACCGGCTTCTTCATCCTCTGACAGCTGGTTTCAATTTCGCCGCTAGGTGGCAGGATTGTTGTTTTACATATTCGGTCTGCAGCAAAAAAAATACAATGTAATGTTTGTCTCCCACCTACTTTCTCCTACTTTTCATGAGCCCCATGTATTAAAACAGTGTGTCATTGTCACATTTTATAGGTAAATGAACAATTAAAATGCTCTTTAGTATTGTTTCTGTGTTGTAATTTATGGGCTATTATAGCAGTTGTTTGACTTAGACAATTCGATTTAAATCATCTTCTGTCATATTCGTAGAGACATTTATATTTATTTTCTAAGTAAAGAATAGATAGATAGATAGAGAGATAGATAGACAGATAATTTGGCAGTGCCGAAAACAAAACATGACGTCACTATAATTAAACTCAGCCGTAGAGGCTGCTGGGAGAATCTTGCTATGCTGGAGACATTTTGGATTTAAAGGGGCTGAGCTACCCGTCAGACATAGCTCTCGGTAAGTGATAGCAAGCGTTACATGTTCACTAACCAATATTATAATTGTGTTATATATATATATTGCTGTATATTTAAGTGGTATTAATCTAAGTTACTGTGAATATAAAGTATCAGCTCTGCGGTTTGAACAGGATGAACTCGCAACAACTAGGGAGTGGTGACGCTAGCTGTTAGCTGAAGCTAGCTGGTTAGCTGAAGCTAGCTGGTTAGCTGAAGCTAGCTGGTTAGCTGAAGCTAGCTAGTCGCTAACCGGAGCGCTATATGATCAAAACGCAAGCGTCACTATGAGGTTAGCTAAAGTAATGAGTGCAGAAAACACGACAACCAATCTAGTGAATGAAATAATTGGCTATGTTTGCTGTTATTATTGATATAGACCCCTGTAGATGGAGGTAGACAATCATAGACCCATTGAGAACTGCGAAAGTCGCAACAAAATGAAAATCTGAGTCTATTAATATAGATTAATATTATCTAATTCGTTGTTTTATGTTTTGAATGGATGTGCAAATGTTCAGAAGACTCTGGGACTGTGTTCCGAGCACGTTTAGGTTGCGCAGAGTCATTAACACAGAGCTACAACGATATTCAATCAAATGTCAAGCATTGTGTTCAACACTGCTGACGTTGTTGTTGGGCTGTGTAGACATTACAACGGTGTAATACGCACACAGGTGTCTCCAGGTAGAGCATCGTGCCTAACCTGAGGAGTACCACGTAGAACAGAGATCTCTCTGCATCAGTAGCGACATTCAGGCGGACAGTTTTCAAACAACCAGTGGTGGGAGAGCAGCCCTCCGGCAGCTGGTGTCAAATGGTACGATGGAGGACTGGAGACGTTGACATCACCCTCCTGGTTGTCCCAGACCACTGCCACACCCTCCTTGATGGCCGGCTCTCCTTTGTGTCTGACGGTGACGCAAACGGGGTTGTTGGATTGCTGTTTTTGGAGGAAACAAGAGGAGGATAAACTGATCTAATGGTATCAGACTTCATCAAGTAGACAGGAAATGCGTGTCTATGGAGATTGCACAGACATCAACCACTGGCTTGTTGATGCACCCACTGCAGTCTGCCTTTTTTGCCATTTCCTATGCTCGTGTTTTATTATTATAATGCCAACAAGCACCACACCCTCTCCCGAAGGGTCTGTTTCCATAGCGTGTGCAATGTTTTGTAGCTGCATTTGTGTATTTCCCTCTCAGATTTTCAGAAAGGTTGTATGACAAACATGCAATTTTCAAGAAGCAAATAGCAGCCTAGTAAGAGTTTTTATCCAGCCATAAAGTCAATACGATTCTATGTGCAATCACACTTGGCAGCAGCAAGTGTACACTCTGTGCACACAATTAAGGATTATTCAATGTATCCTCTGTTTGGCGATCGGTGTGCAAAAGCACAATCGTCTGGAATGGCGGTAGTGATGGTAGGAGGAGATGAGGAGAAAGGGGGGAAAAAACGGGGGCCTGAATGATGATGGTGTGATAGCTTGAGGCTTCTCTGGAGATGAAGAGTGATGACGAGTGGAGCTCTGCATAGACAAACTCGACAGGCAAGATGGCCCAGATTTCCACCGCTGGGAAGGAAATAAAGCAGAGTCCACAAAGTTGTTTATTTAAACACAGAGCTGTCCTTTATAACACTGTAGGCTCCTCTGGAGCATTTGCAATACAACGTGCCCTGTGATCCCTGTAAGGATGAGTCATCGAACTTTTCTGTGAAATTTTGTTCCTGATCCATTTCATCAGAACAATGTCAAATTAAGACTTGTCTATTTAGTTGGTTTTTGAAAAGATTTGTTTTAATTAGTAAACAATATTTTAATGATATGAGGTTTAAAGATTATTTAGTATTGTATCGTATTTTCTGAGGTATGATCTTTACAGTCCACCTGTCACTTTGAAGGTGTTTGCTGTGCTACAAATGGTTCCCATCACTTCATGACCGCTGGGAGGGAAATAAAGCAGACACTTAGTTTGATTTTAGATTATAAGTGAAATGTAATGGTGAACCTTGTAAACCTTGTTACCTTAAAGAATGGGCTTACCCGACCTGTATTGCTTGTTGCTGTTGTGAGAATGTAGGGCCAGCAGCTGAAAGTCTGTAATATTTTCACATATGCTGCCTAGTAGCTCCAGACAGTAGGTGTTGACCTTGCGCTGTGTTGTGTGCCCTCATCCTCGGTGGCGTGTGAAACTCTTTTTGTGCCTGTAAATAGCGTCGTTGAGTCCGTCCCCATTGGACCTATTCCTTTGTGTCTGATGAGTACAGAGGAGCAGAGTCTTAGATTAGGAAGGCTCCCTCCCCCACCCGACCTGGTCCTCCGCTTTCCTCCCGTGGGCGTGGCTGTCTCTTGATGTGTTCGCCCTGAGCCGTCGTTGGTTGTTCTGACGGAGCAGAGGGAAGGTCATCATCATCATCATCATCACTGCGAGCACCTCCTCCTCCTCCCTCATTCCTCTCCCGTTTCATTTCCATTGGCCTGTGTTTCACACCGAAGGTTTCCTTTTCCATTTGTAAGGAGGATCACTTTGGATTAGCGCTGCAATTTTATGATGCACTTTACCAGTGTGTAGCGCTGGCGCTGGAGGAGGAGTCATTATTTCATCAGCGTTTCACCGTGCCACAGTATGAGGCTCTGATCCGCCACTGAAACCGAGGTTAGTTTTCTGCTCCAGCAAGCTGGACCGACTGAAGAAACATGCTGGCGTGACTGATTGTAGATTTCTTTAGCCTTCAGTGGGCATTTAGTGGGTTTTGTAATGGATATTAAAATATTCTGAGAGTGTAATTTGCCTTTTTTTCTATAAGTTGTCAGTTGTTTCCCCTCGTTTTTCCTCATGAAAAAAGCCACGACCTCTTTGCTTAGAATAAGTCGTTCACTACAATGGTCCTATATTTTGTTTAATGCCACTCTAATGGTCTTGGATTGTAAAGCTACATTACATAAAATAGTCCATCTGCAGCCAAGCACCGATGAGTGGCAGCAGGAAGATCTGTTAATGCATCATGTCGTGTTAGGGTGGTAGGTCATGTAGCTCTGAGTCGAGGGATATGTTGAAAATAGTGAACGTGGACACACGAGAAAACCTTGTGCTTGTTTTAAGAAGTGGATATTTATTCTTACTAGCTACCTAATGCGCTGCTATTGAGCCTTAAACAAGACTTGATCCTGATCATTCCTGTAACTGATCATGAGCGCATTTGGGTAAAAGCCCAAATCCAATGAATATGTGCTGTTATACAGTGTGACATGAACATGTTTATTATTGTCCATAGAGTATTGTAATGCATGTCAGCAGTATGAGAAGTCATATTCTGGGCCTTGTGAACTGTTTCATATTAACCTTTGACGATATAATTCGTTTTTTTGTGCGCGTGATTCGTATGAAACGCAACAAAAGTAAATGTTAAAGATTAATTCAAGGGCGGTCTTTGTAAAGGAGAAACAACCGGCCCGTTGGACTTTATCTCACCTCTTTAAAGACTTGAAACATATTAACTTCCACTGAGGAAAACAAAAGTCCTCGATACAGCCGTTTATGTGTTTTGATCGAGGCGAAGCTGCTCGTTTCTCCCCTGACTTGTCATGAAAGTGCTTGTTCTCTTTGTTAGCGACTGTGTACACTCGGCTCGTCAGGCCTTTCATCCACACTGACTAACTGTGCCGGGTAATACGCTCTGTGATCTGTGAATACACTTGATCTTTTCCAATAGATCATTTCATTTCTTGTTTCAGAGCAGGTAAAATCTTCGACGTCGGCACTTATCGGGAAGGAGAAGTACTTCCGGCTCCCTTGGCAAAACAAACTTCTCGTCATCTTTCTCACGTTTCTTCATGCAGAGTTGGGCTGTTATCATCTCTGCCCTGCCTTCATTTTACTCACCTGTTTCTGTAGCATTATTTTAGAGCATAGAGCGTAGACTCTAAATGCTGCACAATGTAAGACAGTCATCTCTTTGACCATGCAAAGGAGAGTACTGGTTCATTTGTTTATAGCATTTGAATAGACTCTTTATGTAAAGTAGCGAGTCCGCTTCTCTAGTCTTCTTTAGTCAATTATCTTTGGTGCATCTTTCACGTTAGTTTTCCCAAAAACATGTTACGTCTTGCAACCACTGACCATAAACCCTCAATGTGTATACCATTGTGCATATTTTCTCACCAGAAATATGATAATTTGATATTGATACTTGGCCTCAATTCAGTTTAAAAATATATTAAAAAATCCAAAAAAACTCTGAAGAGGTTGGTTGTCTCTGGATTTGCTGTTTTTACCGCTCTGCTGTTTTCTAATTGCAAAATGGAGGTAAAGAGATGATCGTATATGAAGTGCAGCAAAGCACTTCATTGCGGATGAGAGATGCTTAATATGAATAAGTCAGTGTTGTAACCGCTTAAAAGAGCTGCTGTTAGCTTTGCATCAGGCTTACTTCACCCGTCGTCACGCTTGCCGTCTCCACAGAGAGGCTTCAGGAACTTAACAGAAAAGCTTCTTTCGGAGGATAACAGGAAAAATCAACTGATACCCTTTTTCACGTCGAACGTTATGGATTTTTTGAATTCTTCAGTGGATTTAAATAAGCTGGTTTGTGAACCTGAGGATGGTAAAGCTTTTAATTGGAGGAAAGGAAAAACAATATCGATTCAAGCTGTGAGGGTTTTCCCCTCTGTATCCTCTTACACCCCATAGTGTTGTAACTTTAATATCTTCTGCACATCCTGAGCCTCCAGCTGGTGGGACAAAATGCTCCAGTGTCTTTCTGATCAAAGCACGTTTTCTGTCTTGAGGCGAACACATTCTGGTGGACAGCCATCAGATCTGCAAAGATGAATTGGATTGTTGGTCAAAAGATTAAACAAACAACTAATCATTTAACCGACGACATAATCAACAGATAAATCGAATATAGTGACAATAATTGTTAGTTGCAACCCCGACAGCCGTTTACCGTCACGTGACGTCTAATAGTTTGGTTCTTAACCCAGCGATTACTCTCCGTCGCTGAATATTGATGGAAAATCTTTTCACGGGTTTTGCATCTGCGCTGAGTCCAGGTCACATCAACGTGGTTCAACATAGCTGGCAGTGTCTCTTCTGTTGTCCCATCGCACAGCAAATAGCGGTTTGTTTCTGGCTTTTGTTGATCTGCTTATTTTGTCAATTCTCTGCTTTTAATAGACAATTGCTGGAATACAAAGTCGCAAAGCAGGGAGTGGCTCACTAATGGTGGAGAGTGTTCTTCTTTGGGCAGATGGCTCTCAGCTGGTGTTTATAACTCCCCCCCTTTCATCCTTAACCTCTTACCCTCACTGCTGTTAAAATACAGTGCACCAGCTCAACGCAGCCTGGCCCCCTGTCTGAAGGGCAGGGCCACTTTTCTTTGCACAACGTAGCCAGCAGTTATGTGGCTCGGCGAGTCATAGGTTATCTTCAGACTGCTTGGGGGGAAAATGGCACATGTTCCATGCGCTCACCAAAGGGCTGACATTTCTTCAGCGCACGATATTGTTGACATTGGTGTTTTTTGGACCAGATGCTAAGCTGTAACCCTTGAGGCTTCTGTCGCGCCATCCTCTCCTTCGACTCTTCGGCCGTCACGCAGCCCGCTGGGCCTCCGTTGGCACCAGAAGGCGGCCACACGGCAGCTTGAGCTTATTTTAGGTGTCGAAAATTTAACCGTCTGTCCAACGAAATAATATGTCCCCGTGGCCCCCCGGTTAAGCATAAAGCAGGCACATGTCTTTACTCTGTATGTGTTCATTCATGCAACCATCGCAGCGGAGTAATTCACAAGACTGTGTTTCATTGAACAACCCTTCTTTATTTTCTCATCGAACTGCATAAATTCTGACTTTGTTTAATTAAACAGCTCAAAGAAATGCTGACCTATCTCGCTCGTGAAATTTGAATCTCTCATCTCCACCGCAGCGATAAAACATGAGTTCATATCCTCCTTTTATGGCTGTCCCGGTGCACGCGGATCATGCTAAGAGCCCATTAGCCGAGCACAGGAATGAGTTCGGGCTCTGTCTGCATCAAGGGCGGGGCCCTACACCGGCACACGTCGAGATCTGTAGACCAACAATGGAGAGTGGCCTCTTGTCGTATCGCAACAGCAGAGAAGGCCTGAGACGGTTTTTAGTGTGAAAGATCATTTTGAAATTGAAGATCCTCTCAGTTAAATGGAGGAAAAGTAACGAGCCATGTTGTGACAGCTGCAGTTCAGCCAAGCTCTCGCGTTCTGTTTTGTGAATTTCAGTGTTAAACTAGCACAGCTGCATCTTTTGGAAGTGCCGTTATGAAAATGTCCTCGGCGGCTGCTGCTGTTGTAACAGACGGCTCCCTTCTCTCCAATCTGTACAGGTTTCCCTGAGCTACATAGAAGATGTCCACCATGGTGTATCCGCGGGAAGAGAAGCTGGAGAAGCTCTCTCAGGAGGAGATCATCTCCAACACCAAGCTGGTGATCCAGGGTCTCGAGGCCCTGAAGAACGAGCACAACTCCATCCTCCACAGCCTCCTGGAGACAATCAAGTGCCTGAAGAAGGACGAGGAGGCAAACCTGGTGCACGAGAAGTCCAACCTGCTCCGCAAGTCCGTGGAGATGATTGAACTGGGCCTGGGAGAAGCACAGGTGAGGCCGGGTGGGAGAGGTACGATGGATATAGCCTGGTCACTTGGACGATATGAGCAGCAAAGAAAACGTTATTTAAAAGCAGTTTTTAATAGCAGAATGGGCAGAAAAAGAACTTAATTCACAATGTAGTACTTTTGTGTTTTTGTCTTCTGCTTCCTCATTCTATACTGAGCTGGTGTGGTGATCATGATTCACTCAGAATCAGCCTCCCCCCCCGGTCATTTCTCTCTCCGCTTCGCCGCCGCAGACGCTTAGTCCTCGTTAAACGTCGCTGCTTCTTCAATGCTGTCTCCGTCCCCAGGTGATGATGGCCCTATCCAACCACCTGAACGCCGTGGAGTCGGAGAAGCAGAAGCTGCGCGCCCAGGTGAGGAGGCTGTGCCAGGAGAACCAGTGGCTGCGGGACGAGCTGGCCAACACCCAGCAGAAGCTGCAGAAGAGCGAGCAGAACGTGGCCCAGCTGGAGGAGGAGAAGAAGCACCTGGAGTTCATGAACCAGCTGAAGAAATATGATGAGGACGTCTCCCCCACTGTAAGTACTTTGAACAATCACAAATACACCGACAGATTATCATGTTTTTGTGTCTTTAATTCCACCGTGTTTTGTGTGTTGTGGTTAAATTGTGTAGAGATAACATGTTAGTTATCATAAGCACGATGGTAAATAATAATACAAATCCTGTGTTCTGAACCGACTTGGAACTATTTTTTTATTTTGAATCTGCCTTAAAATGATTTAACTGTAAAGTGCAGCAGAATGTCAATGATATTCGATACAGGAGAGAAAACAGAGCTGCGTGGTCTTCCAGGAATGAGGCCTTCTGGTCAGGTCCTTATTGATCCAATGGTGCATATTCTGACCTTATTCTTAGTCACAAAGGGAAGGCTCTAATAGCTTGTATCCATCAACTGCGTGTTGCAGGAAATAAAACCCTAAAGGATTCTTATTGTTCCCATTTTACAGCTTTCAGCAGGCTTCTGTGTTAAGGTCCATCTGAAATCACTGTTAGTGATAGAACGCTGACGTTGCTGCTTAATGCGAGGGTTGATGGGCTTTATCGAAATACGATAAGATCGCCACAGAAATAAAATAACCGTCAACAAAGACAGATTCTTAACGTAATTAAGCCAGAACTAGTGTCGCCATCTGGAAACCAAATCACATCAAATATACATTTTAATTACATGGTTTCTGAAGACAAGCGATTGACAGAGCAGATATGAAGGAGACAAAAACACGGACATAACAGTGTTTCCAGATGGTCGTCTGCTGTCCGTTAGAGGATCTGACTGGCTGCTTTGTTTCGTCCTCTCAGCAGGAGGAGAAGGACCGAGAAACACCGAAGGACTCCCTGGACGACCTCTTCCCAAACGATGAGGAGGAGCACGGCCAAGGAAGTAGGAAACGGCCGCATTCAGCACTTCGGCCTGAATTCTGACTTTAAACCTGATAGCGTAGCTTTTCTACGATAGACCTGGGTGGATGATGTGGCGTCATCTCATTGAATTATCCCCATAATCCTCTTATTATTTGTCACCGCACTGATTGTTGACATGAAATGTGGTTAGCGATATAATCGAGCACGAGTTTGACCCTTTGACCGCTGGGCTGACCTTTGCCCTCTGTACCCCCGCAGTGCAGCACCAACACAACAGCGCGGCCGTGGCTGCAGCCCAGCAGGGGGGCTACGAGATCCCGGCCCGCCTGAGAACCCTGCACAACCTGGTGATCCAGTACGCCTCCCAGGGCCGGTACGAGGTGGCCGTCCCGCTCTGCAAGCAGGCTTTGGAGGACTTGGAGAAGACCTCTGGACACGACCACCCTGACGTGGCCACCATGCTCAACATCCTGGCCTTGGTCTACAGGTCAGACACGGCCACTTATGGGAGCGTTTGTTAGTTCCACTGTTATTCGTCCTGTTTTGCTCCTGTCATGTTGCTCTTTTTATTCAGCACAAATGAATACAAAGAGCGATAAACGTTCAGCCTCATCACGTTGTCCTGTCTCTCCCTCTCACAGGGATCAAAACAAATACAAAGAGGCTGCCCATCTGCTCAACGATGCTCTGTCCATCCGGGAGAAAACCCTCGGCAAAGACCACCCCGCCGTAAGACTCCCATATCTTCACATGCACATATTCATCTTTAGATAGATTAGATTGGTCATCTGGTGTTGGGTCATAATTGCCACGCAGACTCCGGGAGGCAATAACCACAAAGTCCCCACAGTATTTACGGTTCTACTCGGTCTGTATGGATTTCCTTTTTTCACATTAAAATTGAATATGTGGCCTGCAGGCTTTAAACTAATCAACCAAAGCTCCTGAATGTCTGCTCATACATCCAGCATGAACCAAACCACAAAGCCCTTTGCAGTCAGAATGCAACGAACAATGGCAAAAACATTCAAGTGTGCTCTCCATTTCACTGCCTTTGACAACAGATTTGTATGAATCGATTGACACTGTGGCACCGAAACACCTTGTAAAGCCTGCAGGAAGCTCTTAAAGCCCCGTGCTCGTCGCTGCAGCTCTGTGGGGGTTTTGCAGTTCGTCTCATATTGTTGCTCTCGTCACTCTGTCTGATCCTCGATACAGAATAATGAGACACAAAGACTGGGTACTACAGCCCTGTGTAATCCAGGTGGCTTTGAGCTCTTTGAAAGCAAAAGAACAAACATTTTTAGGACTGTGACAAGTCATTAGACAGCAGTAAATTAAATGCTGTTATTGTGAAGCTACACTGCCAGTATGAAAGGAAAGGAAGTGGCCTTAATCAGGTTCTCTTTCTCTCTCTCTTTTTTTTTCTCTGAATGTCCAGGTCGCTGCGACGCTGAACAACTTGGCTGTGCTCTATGGAAAGAGAGGGAAGTACAAGGAGGCGGAGCCTCTGTGTAAGAGGGCTCTGGAGATCAGAGAAAAGGTAGGCCACACCCCTTCATTGCACCAGCAGGGCCGTCCACAGCAGCGCTATCGAGGCCTCGTCTTAACGGCTCGACCAGTGAACAATTAGCTTATTGTCGTAAAGTAATTAACAGTAATAATATTTCCAGAATGTCAGTTGGAGCTACTGTAACACCAGCGACTATAAATAGGGGGAAAAGAGCAAATGATCTTCTTAAATTCTCTGTGAAGTTTCCGCTGGGGGCCAATTACCGTGTTGAAGGAGTTTAATTGAGAACACAGCTGAAACTGGATAGCAGGTGTTGGGGGAGCGATGCAGCAGATAGATAGGAGACGCAACAGAGGGTACTAAGAGTCTCTGTTTGCCTGAAAGCTCTATTCTGTCCCCTCTGTATCGATCAGCCGGCCTTTTATTAGATCTGCCGACTGTCTGCAGCAGGCAGACCTGCTTCTCGGTGACAGCAGCGAGAGAGAGATGCATGGGATCGAGTCAGGGACACAAACTGAGAACATTTTGCTCCCTGTTTTTCCCCCCTCAGGTCCTGGGGAAGGACCACCCAGATGTGGCCAAACAGCTGAACAACCTGGCTCTCCTTTGCCAGAACCAGGGCAAGTATGAGGAGGTAGAGTACTACTACTGCCGCGCCCTGGAGATCTACGAGTGCAGGCTGGGCCCAGATGATGCCAATGTGGCCAAAACCAAGAATAACCTGGTGAGAGACAAGTTTACCACGACCTCATCGGCTTTTATCGTGCGTCTTTTTCAAACCCTTCGAGTTCTATATCAGCTGTGTTTTAGCGTTGCTAATAGGGTACCAAGCCACTAGTCCTTTGTCTAGTGCTTTGCTTCTTCTTCTGCTTCCTGCTTCTGTCTCTAATGATGGAGCAGTATGCAGACGGTAAGGGAGGCGATGTGGTACAATATCATTTTTCAGGAGAAATGTGCAAACTCACTGCTCCTACTGTCTCAAGAGGGTCACACTGTGAGTCAATAGGCCCGTTTGATCCAGCGCTAAGATGTGCTTTCTCCTCTCTCTCTCTCTCTCTCTCTCTCTCTCTCTTCTTCTTCAGGCGTCCTGCTTCCTCAAACAGGGGAAATACAAGGAGGCTGAGATTCTGTACAAAGAGATTCTGACTCGTGCTCACGAGAAAGAGTTTGGATCTGTCGATGGTAAGGCCTCGTAGTGTAGCTGACAGTAAACATGGCGGCACGGGTTTGAAAGGTCATTTTCATATCGCTGTGGTCCATAATCTCTTTTTCAATCAACCCAGAAACATAATAAATGCAAATTTATCCCAAGATAAATGGTGGTGGGTCACATCAAACTTCCTCTCGTAATACTCGGATTAGACTTGTTGTTTTCATCTTTCCTCCACCTTTGTCTGATGTTCCATCTACTGTTTGTCTCACATCAGCAGAGTGAGTGATGGACAGATGTTTAAAATGTGGACGATGTTGTAAGCAGGGGGCCAACCTTCACCGTTCAGAGGACACAAAGACTCTAAACAAACGTTCTAAAGCAGGGGTCAACGTTTTTCAGGCCAAGGACCCCCAAACTGATAGAGAGATGGAGCAGGGACCCCCGACTATAAAATTGGGTTTTATATTAAATGGGCCTAGTGCCATGTATAAACAAACCTCTTTATTGTGCATTCAATACTAAGCTATTCAAATAATACACAGGTTCATATATTCATGTTTTTATTTTAAACATGTGCAAGGTACAGTGAGTAGGGAGGTCGTGCCACTACCATTTAGAAACATAGCTTGTCAGCTGATACCAATGCCAACATAAACATTGTCTGTCAATTGCATGATAATCATTCAAACTGATGTTTTTATTTTAAACATAAATGTGGAAATGAAAAATGAGTGTTGGCCTATTAGTGCCACTGCCATGCATAAACATACCCGTTATCTTTCATACAATAGTGAACTATTAAAATAATGGACACATTCATGTTTAGAGAAAAAAGAAAAATTTAATTATTATTATTTTTTTTTAATTGTCTAATCAACCAAAACTTTCGCGGACCCCCTGCAGTACCCCCTGTAGTACAGGGGGTCCTCTCTGTTCTAAAGAATAAAGACTTCACTTGTCTGAAAGATCTTGCAATTTTCTTCTCTTTTTAATTTAAGTTGAGCTTTTTTTTGTGGGCTTCCCTCCAGGGATTAGATTGACTGCTTTGAAAAAGGGAATGAAAGGGACTCGACACAACGCTCTGCTCTGGTGCTGTTTTTTTAATTCAAAAGCATCTCGCATTTTTTCTGAGAAGTCTATTTTTCATGCATCACTGAACTTGACAATAGCTCTGATATTTTTGAAAACCTGTTTGGAGAGTTGGAGGTTAAGAGAAGCAGCATTAAGCAGCAACAGATGTGTTCCTGGGAATGAAAATAAATACGCACAATGGTTTCTATTTTAATGGAGCTAAATATCTTTTAATGTTGAGTTATAAGTGCTATGTTTGTTTGTTTCCGATGCATATTTAACAATCTAATAGTTACTTGTAAATGTTCGTAGTATCAGAAAAGGATCATTGTTTATATAGCATCACCAGAATCACCTACTTCCACTTGCTCAGGTTTTTTATTACAAGACAATTTAATGGTGCAGTGTTTTCTGTGCTGCCATCTATTGACCCATTTCTTTCTTAATTTATTTGGATAAGAATCTGAAGAAAATATGTTTCGAAAGGAATGCATTTTTCTGAATTAAGCTTTATTTTTATTAATGACTGTTTAACAGTGTTAAATATTTTATATTCAATATTTAACCTTCAGGTCGACACTGTCTGCGCCAGATCTCATAATTCACCACCAAATACATAGAAACAATCCAAACGAGACTGTCTCACTATCAAGACACGCACATAATCGACAGACTAATAAAGAAACCGTAGCACCGAGTGGCTGATGTTGCTCTCCTGGTCTGTAGGGTTATTATAGCCAGCTCAGCATTCATCATCAGTAGTTCCTGCTGGATTCAATGAAACCTCCCTGAGGTCGACCTGTTAAGCTGTTGTCCTGTCTGTTTGTCTGCAGCTGAAAACAAGCCCATCTGGATGCATGCAGAGGAGAGAGAGGAGATGAGCAAGGTGTGTGTAATCCGCCTCATGTCACTGTGAACACAAGCAGAGCAACTTAAATAGAAGGAAACGTGTCAAATGGAAGATTGTGACTTGTTAAAAGTCTGTTTATTTAATTTCTTGGAAAGTGAAATATAGTTGATTTCCTACACACACTCACTCACTCACTCACTCACTCACTCTATAAGCCCCATTAGGAAGATGATATTTATATGTAAACACAGAAAGAAATGCTGCTGATCCAGTTTGAACCACCGCTCCCCTTCACGCTCGTCTCTTCTTCCTCTCCTCCCTTATTTCCTTCCAGGGCAAACACAGAGACAACACTCCATACGGAGAGTACGGAGGCTGGTACAAGGCCTGCAAAGTCAACAGGTGAGGCAGAGCGTGATAAGCTTTTACAACGTGGTCATAAATAAAGACACGTGGTAATGAATAGAGAGATTAGTCACTTTAGCTGAGTTAATCTTTTAATGTGTGAAGAATATCTTTTCCTTTTTCTGTGTTTTCTCCTGTTCTTTTTCGGGGAATGTGAATAAATCCGCTTTAGTTTTCAAGTAGTTGACTTCATCTTTGAGGGTTTTTAGCATTTGCTGTGATCCAATTGTTCCTCAAATGACCTTCAGCTAATTGTGTTGGTTTTCCTGTCTGTGAGCAGCCCAACAGTGAACACCACCCTGAGGAACCTGGGGGCCCTGTACCGTCGGCAGGGCAAGCTAGAGGCTGCCGACACCCTGGAGGAGTGCGCCGTGAGGTCTCGCAAGCAGGTCAGCTGCATTTCATTAATTTTATTACTTAAATTGTCCGTTTCTGCATGCAGATAACTTAACAGTTCCTCTTCTTGTAAAATCCTAAATATGTCCCCCAAATCTCATGATATTTCTTTCCCTTTCTCTACAACGCTATGGATCCAGAGCAACACAGTAAGTGGTTTGTCTCTAACTGATAGCCCCCCCCCCCCCCCTAACATCACTCCCATCCCACAGACATTTAAAACGTCCCCTTGTCTCTGCGTTGCCTCTGTGACGGTGCCGTGAATGCATTACACAAGACAGAAAATCCCACTTTAATACCTCCATGTAACTCTCACCCGTATCCACGAGCTAACGTCTACCTCCGAGCTAAGTCTGACGACGGGACGTCTGTTTGTTTTGTGTGTGTGTGTGTGTGTGTGTGTGTGTGTCCTATCTGTGTGTTATCCGCATCAGGGCATCGACCCCATCCACCAGACGCGTGTGGTGGAGATCTTGAAGGACACGGACGGCGACAGGCGGAGGAGCAGGGACAGCCTGAGCAGCGTTAAGTACGAGAGCGGCTCCGAGACCGGCGAGGAAGTGAGTATGGGCGTGGAGTGGAACGGGGTGAGTACAAATCCACTACAGTCGAGTCAACGCGGCCGGTGACCTCACCGGAAGAACAAGGCGGTGTCTGCAACGACGCTGGTGAGAGAGTGTGGACCGGTACGGAGCGGTGACTAGTTTGTGACTTGTTATGTGTAAGTGGGGTTTCTCTCACGTCACTGTGCTCAAACTGCACAAAAACACTAATGAGTCATTCATTCAGGACCTATTCTATGATGTCAGTGTTGCACATCATCTTAAGAAGAATATGTTTTTTACAATATAAAAAAGATAACCAGTGGAACAGCTGCTCATTCCCAGTTCTTTGTGTGAGCCGTATCTGTACCGGTCCACCAACACCTTGTAGATGTGTCTTGTTCTTCTCATGAGGTCAACCTGGAATTCCTTTTATTTTGCAAAATGTAACGCTGATTGAGTGTCTCGGCATGCTGACCTGTTGTTGTTGACAGCATCTTGAGTTTGCTTTGGACTAGATGTTCATGTTTTGTTTTGTTGTCCATTGCTTGTCAATGACGTTCCAGTGTCTCGTTTTAACAAGTGGATGTCATGCTGGCAAAGCTTCTGCACAAGTGGAGCGGTAACAAAAAGGAAGAAAAAAACAAAAGGCACATGCTCATTCTGTGGCTCCCTGGCAACATGTGAAATATTTATTTGCTATTATAAGACTCGCAGAGATGCAGCCTGTCGAGACGTCTCTCGTTTCTACTGTTAAACACGATTGACAGAGGTTCCCAGTATCCTTGATGCTCGTCCCTCTGCGCAGTAACTCTTCACCCTGCTGTTTTATTGCCTCATTATAACATCCACGCTGGCGGTGACTGAACAGTCCTTAGTTTCATTTCCCCCCCCCCAGGGCTTTTGTTTCTGCACAGCGCTTCCCATTGGACTTGTCAACCCCTTCCTCGTTATTAAAGAGGCCGGTGCTGAAAGCATGATATTCACTGCAGCAGTGCAGCTGGAACAAGCCCTCTGGTGAGGCTGACACAAACCAGAGGGCAGGGATGCCTCGTCTGAGCCTGTGCCTTTTTTTTTTTTTTTTTTTTTTTTCTCCTCACTTGAGCGCAGCCACGCCCTTCACCGCACCAACCCAGTCCACAGCATGCATGTAGCAACGCCAGCCTGCTGGGCTCACCCTTTAACACGCACACTAATGGGCCCATGTGTGCTCACATGGTTGATAAATGTCTGTTAACCTGCCTGCTGCTCTCGCTGAGCGTCATTTAAGTAGAAAAGAGGGGGGGGTTGTTTGCTGGCTGCTGTTGTGTGAATGCTTCTCTACACGCACACACACACACACACATATGCATAAACACAGCTACTCAAAACTGCTTCACGACAGCATTCGCGTTGGTCCGAGTGTGCACCTGTCTGTGTACGAGGCGTGTGAGGGCACGCGGAGGGTTTGCTGGGTGCGTGCTAGCGTTTCATTATCCCCGTCACCACCACAGCGGCAGACATTAAATGTGCGCAGTCCAAACAGGAAATGTACCCGCGACATTCTCATGCTTCTTTGTTTTTTTTAAAGATCGTTTCTGAAAGCTAACTGGCGCTTTTTGACTCAAAGATTGCTTCAGAAAGTCCATCAATCCATTCATTTACGTGTGTAGCTACAGCTTCTTGTGTTGAAGAGACGAGGCTTGTAAAGTCTGCTTGTGTGTAGATGTTTTGCTGAGTGAGGATGTGATGTTACTGCAGAGCTTTGCTCGAGCATGTCTGCTCTGTCACTGAGGCTGTAGGAGCGCTTCACATACTCGTACAGACACCCGAGGGGACTAACTTGAGTGCCACACATTGGTGGCTGTGTTCATTGGTAGCATGTGTGTGTCTTTATGCATGATGTGATTTACATCGTACGTGTGTCTGCTGTTGCTTTTTGACGTTTTTTTCAATGTGCCGCCTGTTCGTCAGCATGTTGTCCAGACTTCATCCTTCCCCCCCCCCGTTTCCTCTCGTCACTAACCCACATCGATGACTCATGCCATGACAACCAATCAGCCTGTCAATCAGATTTCCTCTTTCTTGCTCAGTGGATTGTACTCTCCCTCTTGAACTGTCATTCTGCACAATATGCTTGGGTGGGTTTGGGATAGTGACAACATAGACCAGATACTTAGTCGATTAGTCATTAAGGTAAAGGAAACAAGCCGAGGCTAGCACCCAAGAATGAAGACGCTGTTTTCACTTCGTCAGGTACAAATACAGCTTGAGGGAATGTTGCCTTACTGAGGTGAATGCAGGACGTTTTTAAACTCTGAATGCTGTTCATAAAGACGGCGATCGGCGTAACGGCTCCGTCAGTGCTGATGCTTGCAGATGTCCTACGTCTGCAGTGCACAGCGTGCCAAGTGCACTGCTTCCTGGTACCCAGAGAGGGAAAAAAACAGCTGAGTCACGGTGACTGCAACCACCAACCTACCGCATCACCGACCTGCTTACCGTAGTGCAGCTGTCCTGAGACACAGAGAAGCAGCACTCCTGTGCTGCTGGATTTACACATCCTTTTTGTTTGCGTATGCTGCAGTTAAGATGGGGGTGGGGGGGGACTCGGTGCAGGATAGATATTTCGACAACATCAGACGAGTGCAGCCAAGTGTAGAACAAGTTGATGAAGCTCAGATTTAGCAGTGTGTAGGTGTGTAGCGTAGGAAGCCCAACCCCAGAGCTCCTAATCTTACAATGTGTGCCGTTTTTTTTTTTTTTTTGTGTCTGTTTCTCTCTCTTTCTCTTTTATCAGGCCTAAGCCATCAAGATTATTCCTCCATCCTTCTCTCCTTACCCGACACAATAGCAAAAAGGATGCGTGTTGTCGTTCCCTCTGGCCTTCTCTGTCCCAACCAAACCAACAGCTCCTCTACCGTCCCCGCTGCCCCCCCCCCCCACCTCCGGCAGAGACTCGGAAAGCCCCCCCACCCCCTCCGCCCTGACACCTGACAACTGCTGGGACGTTTGGTCTTCTCATCTCTGCTCTTTCTTTTTTCTTCCCCCCCTCCCTCTCTTCCTTTCACTCTCTCTATCCTCTCCTCTTACTAACTGTGTGTTGTCCACCATGTCGGTAATCGTTGCTTCAACTCCCGCTCTCACTTAACAGTTAAAAAAAAAAGAAAGAAAGTCATGGTGGGTGAAATCTTTTAGGAAGCCACTCGCACATTTCTCCTCTCTCTAAAGCAGCCATTTGTAATATTTCATAGGTGCGCTGTAGATTTCTTTGGTAAGAGGAGTGGGAAAGTCATTTATTGGGAGAAGGCAAGCGACGAGCGATTTTGAGGATCAGTGTCACCTTTGTGACGGCCGCCTCGGCTCCAGGCGTCACACGCCGACCCGCCGTCGGATAAAACGTCACATCCACTATAGAGTCGATATATATATTGCAACAGTAATTAATTTCCACAGCTGCTCTGCTTTGGTCTCACTGGATTAGTTTGCAGTCTGACCTCAAAGCTAGCTTCCAACTCTGTGCCTGTATTTAGCCGTAATACTTTGTTTTTTTAAAGACAGGAAAAGTTTCTTTTGTCGTGTTTTTAACTACCTTAACGATAAGGAGATCACTTGCCTAAACAGTTTGGGAATAACGGTACTGTATAGTTTTCATCAAAGGTCACTTCTTTATGACGTCTGCTGCCTCGTTAAAGCATTGCCATGTTTTTATAGATATATTCCCTTTTCATTTCAATTTTTTTTTTATCATTTTGTTTACACTTTTTCTTTTTTTTTTAAATGTTGATTATTTTGTGGCTGAATATTATGGCGGCAGATCGTCACGTAGTGAACGACCAGAGGGGCCGACGTCGGCGAATTGGTCGGATCACACCAAGCAGTTGTTGTTGCCATGGTAATTTATTTTGCAGTCGCTCTGACTGGCGTCACTGTCCTTGATTTGAGGAGTATTCACACACAGGCTCCTCCACGCGGGTACAGCATGTACTCAGCATCACTGTACTCAGCATCCAGCTCAGATACCACCCGAGAGATCGATCAATAATAGCAGAATTTAAAAATAGTGGACGTAAATGCGCAGAAGTTGCCTTTTTATTTCGTCAGTGCAGGAGTAGAAGCTAGTGTTATTGTTCCACAGTAGTGTTAGTGTGTGTTTGTGTATGTGTCGGTGGTGCAGTCTGGCTATGGATACACGCAGCTTAATGGGAGTGTGTTACCTTTTTCTTACACGGTTGTCAACATTGTCACTTTGGTGAATCATGTTTTTAGAAACCCCTGAATTTACAAGTGCGAGTGTTTCCTTCAAGATCAACATGTTTTTGCCGATGTTTAACTAACTGAATGTAAAATATCATCTTTCACGTGTAACCGTAGGCTGTGTTTCTAGATCGGACGAGTGCATTCACTATACGGCTTTTTCTCGGTATGCTACTTGCCATTGAATCTTCATTCCTTCCAATGAGTACACCTCTCCTTCTGACGCAACTCCGAACAAAAGAATCGACTGTGTTCATCACGTAATTATGACAATATTGTTGTGTTAGTGGAATGCTTATTTATTGAACTGTCTACTCTTGACATTATATAGCGTGACTTCAGTGGAAGAACGTCGATGGTAAGGTCTATAAGCACCATCTTAGTACGTAGGACTGCCATCATATTTACCATTCTGCATTGTGAAGATTATATTGCATCAACACTTGTTGGTATTCTCAAATAAAGTTTTTCATTTGTGGAGTTCTTGTCTTTTCTCTGCGTTGGATGGAGACGTCTGTGTTCAGAGGAAACGGATTATTTTAGGCTTCATCTCTCAGAGGAATGGAAACATTTACTCTTTGGCAGAAACATGTGAATGATCTGATTGGCCAACAGCGCCCCCTGCTGGTGATGAGCCTGTGATCACACCTCAAACACGGTTTATTCAGTTTTTGTTATGTCTTCACTGGTTGGTTGAGAATTAAAACACACACTATGCAGGACTGCTGGTGTGTGACAAGAAGAAGACTAGTCTAAAAATGAATGGATGGATGGATGGATAAATTATTATACACTGGAAACAAAAAGAAGCTTTGAGCATCATTATTTTCATTATCTGTTGATTTCTGAATAAATGCATTAAATGTTCCGTCTGTAAATAGTCAGAATAAAGTGACAAAAGATTAAGTGTTTGTTTATTGCCGGTTTTGTCCACCCAACAGACCCGAGCGCTGTCACAAAAGACAAAGAAAAGCTGCAAATTCTCCCGTTTTAAAATACATGCACGATTATTCTATCATGAGAATGGTTGCGGATTATCTTTCGATAATCAATGAAGCTCTAATTACTGCAGATTAAATATAACGCGCAGCACAACCATTTGACTACAATGAGACCAATCGCACAAGAGCAACCTGAACTACAGTTTATTCTAACGGGGTAACCTTCCAAGAGTCATCAGGAAATGAAATGCTGCTAATATTGCCTGCTGTCATTAATATTGCACACATTGATAAATCTAAATAAGGATTCCATATCTCCTCATTAATTGCTCTTTAAATAATTTCATTTAAAAACAACCCGCTTCTTCGTGCTGTTTGGCTGCAACCAGCCATTCGTAAGAGGACTGGCCAACACAACCACTAATGCGAAGCACAAACTGAAGAAAAAAAGATTTGTCTCTTGACTTCTTGTCCTCACGTCCCCGGTGCGGAACAGACGGGTTGATGGTTGTGTGTGTCTGCAGGACGGTAGCGGGGCCCTCCAGCGCAGCGGCTCTCTGGGGAAGCTCCGGGACGTCCTGCGTCGCAGCAGCGAGCTGCTGGTGAAGAAGCTGCAGGGCAACGGACCGCCGGAGCCTCGCAGCACCAAGTAAGAAACCCTCTGTTGTGACGGCGGGCATTTAAAGACCATGATCCTTCTTGTGTTGGTAGTAAACACTGTCTGTGGGAGGCAAGTAGAATCATAGTTTGGAATTTAACTCCCCAGCTCCATGAGTGGTAGTTTTGTGCCCTGATCTCAGATATGAACGTTATTGTCTTTCTATTCAACAGCATGAAGAGAGCTGCTTCCTTGAATTATCTGAACAAAACCAGTGATGACCCGTTCCAGGTGAGCAACATTTTCTTTTTTTTTAGTCTTTTACATTTTTTTCAATTCATGCTGTATTATCGGAAGTGTCATGTTTTAACCCTCGTATCATTCCCCCTCCCCCCTCTCTCTCTCTCTCTCTCTCTCGTGTCTTCTGTTTCTCTTCAGACTCGGGCTGGCAGTTACTTCAGGGAGAGCCGGGGTCTGAGCTCCAGCACTGTGGACCTCTACTCTGGAAACAGCTGATCTGTTCAAGGAACCAGAAGAGGCTCCTTCCTTTGGCTCGTCCTCTTGAGCCATAATGATCGCCGCCATCATCATCACTACCAGACCACCTCCCACACACACACACAAACACACACACTTGCCCGTCAGCGTCCAACCCAAAGAGCCATCTCCTCCAACATTCAGACCCAAAGACTTTTTCCAGTCATCAAAACATAAACGTGCATAAACTGCAGTTTGTTTTTAAACCCAGGTTGTTGCTTATTCGTCTTCCAGAGACAGATTGCCTTATTATTATTATTATTATTATTATTATTATTATCTTTATTATCTTTTCCCTCATTCCTGACGTTGGTGTCGCCTCAGTGCCTCCTAAATGTGGCCAAGACAACAAACCTCATCGCTCCCTCTTATTCATAATCACTGTGACTCTGCACTTTGGCTGCATCTGTTGCCATATTGTGGCCTGTTCAGGTGTTTTTCTCCTCATGTTTTGATTCTGGGATATTTGTTTTATTTTTAATGCTCTGTGTCTTCTTGTGCCATTCATTGGATTATTAGTGCAAATTAGCAATAAAATGTCTATTTTCTCCAAAAAGTAATAGTAGTATAGTAAATAGGTTGGTTGGGTTTGAAATGACATGATTTTGTAAAAAAAAAAAAAAAAAAAAATTTAATTTCCATTTTATTGTTTTTGCCGACTGAGATTTATTTGCGATGCGAGGTGCTGGTTAAAGCTTTGGGGAACAGGGTGACATTGAGTCATGTGAACTTCTTGTTCATAAGAAGTTTTGGTAAACTGCTGCTTCAACCTTCTACAGCTGTGAGATCCAAGTGTGTTTTTCTACACAGGTTTCTCTTCCACTGCAGAGAGAATGCATTGATTCATCTTTAATTGGTTATGATCAGAGAGTACCGATGAACACGACCATGGAAATGTTCAACTTTTTAGACTGTATATATTTAAAAGAAAAGAACCGGTTCTCTTAATTCATCCCGGTCATCCTGAATGTTCTCTGGTGCCATGCGGGACTCGCCTGCTTCGAGCCCGTCATCTTATAATGTTGTTTACAGTGATTCAAATGTGTGATACATATGTGATAATTCTAGTTTTTGCACAATTCTCAGATGGGTGTCTTCTGTCTTTGATTGCATTTTGTTTTATTTTTAGTGAAGCTCAAAAGAACTGGGATGTCTTTTAATTATTATTACTTTTTGATTGTTTTACATGTTAATCTTTTCAGCATTTGGGATAAATGTATACATTTGATTCTGATCGAAAGTTCACAAATCATAGAGTTCATCAGGAAATTAATGAGGAGAATTGAGTGTCATAGTTGGTTGCATGTGCATCTGTTTGGATCTGATCAATCCCACGTGTCATGGAGAATGAGAGCCAATCGGAACCACTTTCTGATCATGATTCACAAAATAAAACCTTCAATTTTCTATGTGTTTTTGTAATCTATTCTTGTGTGTTTGTATGTGGCTGAACATGTTTATGGATTTGAAAAACTTGGAATTAATTGGTTTAAAAAAAATACTTGATGTCATGCCTTGCTGTGTCCTCAACCCTGCAAATTATAACACAGTAAATCCCACCAAGCCGGATCTTTAATGTCGGAGCCTTAAGTTAGTGTGGGAACCCTGATGCCTTGCCAAGATGTGATATGTCTCCCAGAGTGTTCCCTCCTCTTTGGTAGAAGTCAGCGCGGGGTTTCTCTGCTCCCTGGTAATCTCTCAGTATGTCTGCTTTAATGTGGAGCCTCAACCCTTCATCACTTCTGAGAGCTTTGAAATAACTAAACTCACCCAAAGATGGTTTGGTTCTACCGAGAGCTGTCGGGCTCCTCCTCCGAGTTGACGCCATCATCTCAAGAGACTTAAAGTTTTTTGTACGATATCCTTTCCTTCATCTTGGTTGACTGACTGCATGTTCCTGTCAGCCATCTATGGGCCAGCTGGACCAGAAACATGGCACCAGTCCCACATACAGTACTAACAGTGGTGCCAACAGGGGCCGTCCCGTCCTGGTGAGAGTGATGCACTCGCATGGGCCGGATGTTTGCGCCATTTATCAGCTTTCAAACTCCTAAATGTACAGAATGTGCTGCTTTGCAGCTGGTTGAGATATGATAGCGTTAACATACCTACAGGAACTATAGAGCCAACTAATATAGAGGTATAATACAGAGAAAATCATAGATAAGATAATTAACATAATATTCAATAAAACATGATACACTCATTATATAGATTGTAATACTATAGCATGAAATAGGTAACGTCACAGTGAACTGACAATGGATTTTCTTTTCTTAATCCTTTATTTTTTACAATTAATCTATATGTAACAAAATGTATTAGATAAAATTATGCTGGACTTGATTTTTAAATAGTTTAAATTCTTGCACGATATGAAAGTGTTCTATGTGCAGTTGGAGTAAACAGTGATCAGGTTGAACCAGGCGGTCGCAGTGTTGTATGGCTTATCCCAGGTTGGGTACGGGCACCGGAAGCTGCACTTCAGGAGAATTAGCCGACCAGAATTCCCCACATTGATACAGGATGTTGTATGTTTCCATTTCAAAATAAAAAACATTTGGTGTACGGAACCATTAGAATTGTCGGGGTTTATTGTCTGTGAGGTCAATTGATATTACAACGCCAACATATAAGTGGAAAACGATGTGAGTGAAAAAGGACTTGCTTATGAAAGTTATGAAATTACAACTCATAACGTTACTTGTGAAAAAAATATAGTGGGGCAAAGAAAATAATATCGCAATAAGATCAGACAGATACATAATGTGCATCTATGAAAATACAGTATATTAAGTTGAGTCTGCTCAAAAAAGACTTAGGCTGGAAGTTTAATAAAGACTTTTACGCCGCAAATTATCTTTTTCTAGCAGGCTAATGTCTCTACACAACACGAAACAATTGTAAACTGAAAATCAAACAATGGTAAACAAATATTTTGAAAAAGTACTCTTTCTACAAATTTAGAGAAAACATGGAAGAAATCACACGTTCCAACATTTATTTTGAAAGTCCTCACAGGAACTCACGTGTATTGTTTCGGCCCACTTGATGCTGGTGTAAAAAAATCACACAGGCGAGTGGGAGGAAGTCAACTTGGAAACACCGTGGAGCGAAACTCCCTCTTGTTGCAGACTGAACTGGCCCCGGCGGTTGGCGGCTCTGGACGCAGGCAGACGGCGGCTACACACACCGGGTTGTAATGAACCAAAGCGGCCTAAATTCACATCAGCCCCTCCGTACCATACGCTACCTGGAAGTTTAAACTTTGCTTCAAACTTTCGGCGGGTCCGAACTCGTTAAGTCGTGTCGCCTGGCTGGCCCGTAACACAGAGGCGTCCGTCCACCACATGTTTCTCCGCCTTGTTCCTGCTACTTTCCAAAACAACCAGGTGAGCGGCCCGTCTGGCTTCCCCGGAGACCTGCGCAGGTAACGGGGTTGGTCTGCCTGCACGCACACGGTGACGCGCGGATCTCTTTTTGTCGTTCCACTTTCGCCCCCACGGCTCTCCGCGTAGCTAACGGAGAACGGAGCAGAACCGGGGAACCGCCGAGCATCAACCAGGACGGTTCATGGATCTACCGAGAGAGCGCGAGACCCGGCTGATGGAAGGCAGGAGAAGCCCCGCAGCGATAACCCGGAGAAAACCACCGATGTACCTCGTCGGTATCATCTGCCTCCAAGGTTAGTACCAAGCTACTGTACACTTCAAACACACTGTACGCTTACACTTCATTTATTTCTAGTCATTCAGAGGCTGTAGGAAGAAAACTACAACCACTGCGGACCACGACATTGACCTCCATGCTTCTCTTTGGGGCTGTTGTTGGCTTTAAGTTAGTCCTCTTTGCTCACTGCCTGTGAGAGACATAACAGAAACACTACACAGAAACGGCTGCTTTTTGTCATTCACTACTTCAGAAAAAACGCTTTATAATGAAATTGAAAGTGTTTAAACTACATTACATGTGTGGGGGGGTCAATGGAGGAAAGGGGCACCCCTCCCCCATTGGCTCCAGTTTGGGGGGGGAAGACAAATTCAGGCCTCTGGCTCCAAAATGATTATTTAATCCAAAGGATTTAACTGGAAACAAGAAGAAAAAAACACCCAAATACAAACATGTCTGTTCACATATTACTCTACTGACACTGTGATTCAATTTGTACTCTGGAGAAATTTGTACTCTGGAGCAGGAGAATAGTAGGTTTCCACTTTCCACTGAAGGCAAGCCTCGCCATGTCATTATGTATTCCCTGGATCATACTTCCATTCTCACGCAACACATTGGACGTGTGTGATTATCATATTCATAACTCTTGTTTGCATGTTTGAATGGCCTCCCTGAGCCCCGGTGTGGCATGCTTTATGGGTGCCATTCATATGCAGTGCTGGGCGTCTGCCTGAGTGTTTTTTTCCCAACAAAGAAAGAAAAATTAACATTGATGCCCCCCCCCCCCACACGCACACGCGCACAGTGTGGAAGCATTTTAAAAGTTCATAACCTTCGGCCTGCAGAGTGAGAAGAAAGCCACGTAAGGATCCTTCCTGGTTTGGTGCCAGGAATGCTCTTATCGTGCCAGGGATCCGGCTCATTAACTCGCCGCTCATCATGTCAAAACGTCTGTTTTATCTGATCTCCACATGTGGACTGAGACGCAGACGAGCGCAGATTGTGTTTGTGCCCGGGCCATCAACACAGCCGCGATAGCCAGAGTGGCTGAAAAAATTCCTTTAAGTTGAAGTGTCCGTCTGTCCCCCCCACCCTTCCAGGCTTCTCATGGTGCCCACTCTGGGATGAATGTGTCCTCTGTGTGCAGGGCAGCAGGGGAGACGGAGGCTGCTGCTGGTTTGTGTTTATAAGATTTAATGAATAGAGCCAAGCCAGGTACTGTCATGACAGTCCGCTTTAGAAAATGTCCTATTTTTACCAAGGCTCTCTCCGTGTGTCGAAACACGGCAAAGGCCAGGAATGGCAGTGAATGAACATTTTCTTTTTATATATATATATATCGTGGCTTTATTCCCACATGAAGCTGTCCACACCAAACACACCATGTTTCTGGAGTGTTGTCTGATCTGCTGGACCGTGGTCAAATATTTACCCAGATGTCTTTTTTTTTATTTTTAGTTTACAGTAACGGTTCTGTTCTGCCGCCCCGGTCTTTTGGGGTTTTCTGTATCTTGATCTGGTTTCTCTTTGTGGGCCGACCGTCGGCGTGCGCCTGAAGCAGCTCTGAGTGGAAGGTTTTAGAGGCGTGCAATCAAAATTTCGTGATGGAATTCAATAGCGGGTCCAGATTTATTGACGGATGGTGACCAGTGTTCCACTGCTTCTATTAGAAGGTCCATGAAGCCGATCTGCAGCATGCGTCCTCTTTCATCTGGGGAGCTGCTGTGAGCAGATACCATGAGGGTTGTTTTTCCTGTATGTTTTCTTGGCGTGCCCACTGCCCACCCGCCGCTGCTTCATTTTCAGATCCAGACGCTTGGCGGTTATTAACCCTGCTGTGCCGGAGGCTGTTTTGGCTGCACACTGGTTCCGGTTCTCAGAGTACTCTTGATTCAGAGGGGATGAAAGGGTGACGCCTAGATAAACACCGGGGTGTGTTGTGTGGGTTGGAATCGGTCTGTTTACTGTCAGGTAGCTGTTTACAGTCCTGGGGCGGTCGACCGTCATCAAAAAGGGAAATCGCACCGTTGGAATTTTTTAGATCATATTTGAGTGGATTACAATAAAGCTCTTTTGTGGACCGCTGTTGAAGCAGTACACCACTATAACCTCATTCATACGTCATTATGGTTTTATCATATTACAAGACAATGTTAAGGAACAATGTCTTTTTTTGTCTTTTAAACGCAGCTATCAGTGTTCATGATTTCAGCCCTGCTGTCTTGTGTTTTCCCACCACAGCGTTTGAGTGTGATGTCTTGTTTGTTTCACTGATGGTTCTGCTGAGGTTTGATATTCCATGAACATCTGTGCACAACATTGCAACATCTAATGTAATCCCAACGTGTGCTTTATCTGTTACCCTGCTCTGTTGTGATGGAGGTGATTTGTGGCTGTAGTGTTTTTTAAGTACAGTTTACGCCTCGAGATGATTCCATTCTTCCAGCTATGGAATTGAAGCAATAGCGTGACATGATCTCATGTTTTGGTTCAACGTGTTTCTGTTGGGTGACTTAATGATTGAGAGCGAGTTGGTGTTTAAAATCTAGACAAACTGGTCATTGAAGGTTTTTTTTTTTACATACGAGTTGTGTGTCCATGTTCTGCATAACTGTGGAGCACACCGTCATTGCTTTGAACGTCAGTTAGGTTTTTCTAAATGTGAACTTTCATTTTAAGGCTATACCCAGACCAGCACTGGATTCATGAGGCCGGTACTAATATTGATCTTTGAGCATTCATAACATCCTTTTTAAAAAATGTAACTTTTTAATATGGATACCGTTAAACTTCTTTTTTTTTTTTTTTTGAGAATTGCGACAAAGATGGATACACGATGAGCAGAATATTTTACCACCCTCTGGACAAACTGTCATGGCGACACGCATTTCTGTTTATTTACACTGAAACCTATAATCCAACCAGTTCACCGTTAGTCTATCTATACTGATTCTGTAAAACATTCCTTATATTATCTAGCCCCGTAGAGAAGCAATGAACGTTGTGTTTTAAGCTGCATACCTTCACCATTGTGTGAGGCTTCATACGGCCGTTACTGTAATCTGCCACGGCTGCTTCAAGGATAGCAAAGCGTTCTGCTCGGCGGCGAAACAAAGCACGGAGCAGAAAAAGAAGAGCAGAATAATCCGATCTCTCGGTGTGTTTGTGCACATCACAGAGTTTGAGTGGTAGCACAAGCAGAGAGACCGGGGGAGGATCTCTCAAGGTCCTCCACGGCTCTGGTTTCTGGTCATTTATCAGACCATGTTTATTCAGGTTTCGGTGAAGCCTTTTGAACTTGAGAGTCCTCTTTTGCTCTGTGCAGTTTGCACTCTCTCCATCGTAGAGGGCTCTTCTCCCGGGGGAGGATCTTCTTGCTCTCTCTCTCTCTCTCTCTCTCTGAGGTCAGACTCATGGCCACCCAATATCTTAGTTTTGGGGTCTTGATGCTCCCGTCTCCTCGGTTCTCTGTCCTCCAGCTCATGACCCCAGAATTAATAATTGATATAGGTCTGCCATCTTTGAAGATGTTTAAGAGGAGCACGGTGCCTCTAAGATGCATCTCTGACTAAATTGAAAACATACGCTGTCATAAATGTACGTAACATGTCTAAAAAAAGAGCACAGAAGAAATGAGGAAAAGCAAAGCTGCATGATTTAGAGTTTAAAAATACATTTTCTTTTTCTTTCTGCAATTCACTCTGCTTATTTGTCTCATGCCTAAAGTAAATTGGTGGCGCAGCAGAGGGAAAAACTGGCTAAATTTCAGCTTAATTTTATTTTTAGTTTCTGAAATGTGTTGATCGGAATCTTTTTAAAGAAGTCATGGATCAGCGGTTGCCAGAAGCAACACTCTCGCCAGCCGGAGGGAGAGATTGATGAAAGAAACACGGTCACTGTTATCATGGCTCCTAAGATGTTGTGTCGGCTAATATTTTTCCGAGCTGCTACATAAAATGTCTGGTGTGTGTGTGTGTGTGTGTGTGTGTGTGTGTGTGTGTGTGTGTGCGCGTGTCTGTGTGTGTGTGTGTGTGTGAGAGAAGCATATTTGCGTATTTGTGTTTGTGCAGGAAGACTGAATCTCTCTGAAGCTTCTGTGGTCGGACTGGAAAATACGCACAGTTCATAATGCCCCCCCCCCCGGCTCCTTGTCATCAATAAAGCCAAATAAACATGCAGGGCCTGAGCTACTCGCCTTAAATGATGATTGCTGCCCCTAATGACCCGTGCACTGGAGCTGCTGTGTGTTTGTGCGTGCTGGCTCATGTGTTGGTGGTTTGTACTGGTTCTGGTTGGACCCTGTGGTTGTGATTGGAGATCTCTTTGTGTTTTTTCCTTCCCTGTTTCAGTCGGTCCGTGGGCCCTTGTGGGTGCCGGTCTCGTCTGGAGGGATCTCTGTTGTTTATTGACTCGGTGCCTGCACGGCTGGAGGAGCGGTTAGCCTGCACCCACCACCACCACTGCTGACTTTGTGTTACGCTCAGCAACGCTTTTTATCTTCTTTGTCTTTTATTTGTTCTGTGGCGTTTCCAATTATTTTCTGCCATGCTTCAGTTGGATAGTTTGCTTTGTAATTTACCACGGCTTAACTCCTGAAAATCACTTTTCAGTTTTGCAAAATGCAAATGATCCCAGCCTTCTCTAAACATTAGTTTTGTTTTTTTAAAGTAAATGTCTGAAAGGAGCTCATAATTCAAACTGCATACGATGGAGCGTAGAGCTGCAACAGTTAAGCGGCAGAAAACAAAACTGCCAAACATTTACTAGTTCAGCTTCTCAAATGAGATGATTTGATGCTTTTCTTGCTGAACCTGAATTTATTTATTTATTTTGTACAGTCGGTCGGACAAAACGAGGCTTCTTAAGACGTCTCCTTGGCCAATGGGAAATTACACCTGACATGTTTCACTGTTTTCGGACATTTTATAGACAAAAATAGATGATCGATGATTAAAGTAGCCGTTTGTTGCAGCACTAGTGGTGAGTTTTATTAATGCAAGCAGTACACGTGTA